AAAAAAAAAGTGTGGGGTAAAGTGGACCCTCACATAAATTATTGAATCGAGTCGCCAGAATTATTCTAATACGTTTTATAAAGTGAAATTTACTACCTTGACTAAAAAAATATGCAATGAGGGCAAGTATAAATTTGTGTGAGCTCCTGCGGATCTAATTGTGAACAAGAAATGTGAGTTTTTGATCAACAGCGATTACATTCTATCCAATCGGTAGAACAACATGACAATGACTCCTGACAAACGGAAAATTAAAATAATTTTAAAAAAACAGAGGGTCCACTTTGCCCCAACATTAATTTTTTTTTTAATTTAATGACAGATCTTAATTGCAATTCTAATGAGATTATGATCTCCACGTGAAGTGCATTGACTCATTAGAATTTAAAAAACTAAACGATTCGCTTAGAGGGTCCGCTTTGCCCCTACCTCCCCTATACTCATAAAACCAGATAAAACCAATAACCTGATTTGATGACGACCTCGTCGAAGAGTTTGTCCCTCATCTTGAACCCCTGCACTCCAAGATCCTCGAAGATGAGGGCGTTGTCCTTGACGAGGTAACACCTGGGGCACCAGGTTGGCCCGGTGGAATCGGCAGTCATCAGAGGGGAGATCTTGGTGAAAAAGGCTGCTTCTTTCTCGAAGGTCCTGGATTCCTGTGCGTAGAGGAGCTGCAGAGGGCTGTCCAGGGGCAGAGCCTTGACGAAGCAGTTGACCTCACGTTCAGACCCCTCGGCATGGTCCTCCTTCACCAGGATCTTCAGGTGGCGGTGGGACCCCAGGAAGCCCAGCTTCTCCGACGAGTACTTGGTCACGGTGAAGTCCAGGACCTCCGCCGATGGTCCCACCGCTGCTTTGGCGATCAGCTTCGTGTCTTGGAGCGTCACCAGACACTTGTCCGACATTGTTGGTGGTGTGGGGGACAATCGGGGGAATGCAACGTCTTTATAGGCTTCCGGAATCATTGGGGGATTCGGTGGTAAATAGAAACTCATGATGGGGTTTGTTGAGGTGTCACTGGGTGATTAATGTTTATGTGATTATGGATTTGTCCGGATGATGAGCCAGTAGAGGAGTTCTACGATGCTCAGGAGACTCGCTCCCATAAATAAACCGACGACACTTCCTACTGATACTGAAAATGAGGACATGATCTGTGTTTGAGATGGAATTTCGAGATAACGGGGAAGGCTGGCGGGGGGAAGAGGAGGGAAACTTGACCTTTTGGGGGATTTTGCGAACAACGTCGGGGCCTTTTTTGCGTGGATGGTGTGGATGAACTTTTTGGGATGATGCGGATGATTTTTTGTCGATGATATTCAGTTATTAGCCGGTTGAGGCTTCAAAAACGTAGTGAAAAATCCCATTTTTTCAAAGCTTTTCTCAGTCCCAAAATAAAAAATCATCAGTCGAACTTACTAATAACTTACAGAGTATTTTTTTTGTGGGTGACGAAATTTGTTGCAACAAAGCCTCTGACGTTCTTCTCGGGTACAGCCCCAGGCAATATTTGCTACTAAATCTTAACGTGAAATGGAAAAAGTCAATTTTTTTATAAATTGTTTTTTTTTGGAAATTTAGTCTCAACAGATTGTTTTTTAATTACAGAATGAAAATGAAAATTGAAGATTCGAAAGGGTGGTGAAAAATCCCGTTTTATTATTTTAAAAATTGAAAAAATCTCCCTCGTCATTGAAATTCTCAAATTAACAAGGCCAAGTCAACAGAAAAAAAACGTTCTTCAATTGTCAATATCTCCAAATCGGCAGAGTGAATTTGCCCCATTTTCTCCCATTTTCAATCTCTTTTTTCAAGTGTTAAAATAAACTCAAACTCAGCCAAATCGTATCATTTGATCTCGAGATACGGAAGATTGAATCCAGCATCTCCAAATCCCCTTACCCACCTCTTCAGGTCAAAGTTTCTCTCAATCCCCGAAATGAAAAACAATCAATGAAATTTACTGATAATATGCAGGGTATTTCCTTGTGGGTGACGAAATTTATTGCAAAAAAAAACCTGAAGATTTTTTGGGTACCTTCCCAGAAAATATTTGCCACTGAATCGTTTTAAAGTAAAAAGCAGAAAGTCCATGTTTTTATGATTTGTTTTTGTTTTGCAAACTTCAAATCTCGATAGATTTTTTTTCTCCTACAATTAGTTATTCCTCTATTACCGAACTGAAGATTTTAAAAAGTGGTGAAAAATCCCGTTTTGTTATAAAAAAAAATTGAAAAAAATTATCCCCATCATCGTCGAAATTGTCAAATTTCCAAGACCAAGTCAACAAAAAAAATATCGTTCTGCAATCGTCAATATCTCCAAATTGGCAGAGTGAATTTCCCCCATTTTCTCCAATTTTCAATCTCTTTTTTCAAGCGTTAAAATAAACTCAAACTCAGCCAAATCGTATCATTTGATCTCGAGATACGGAAGATTGAACCCAGCACCTCCAAATCCCCTCACCCACCTCTTCAGGCCAAAGCTTCTCTCAATCCCCGAAATAATAAACAATCAATCGAACTTACTGATAACTTGTAGAAGAGACCGGGTCGCATATCTCTCGTACTGGATGCTGGGCCCCGGCAACATATTAACCTCAATCTGCAATGGCGCCCATGTCGGTAAATTCGGATACTCGTATTTATTCAGACTAAAGTCATACACAATGCCCTCGCAATCAGGCAGGCACTTGGCTGCGTCAACGTTTTTGATTCCCTTCGCCCAAAGATATGCTCCATCCAATTGCGTCGCATTGCACATTTCGATTGTTGGAACCCTAGGGAATATGTGGCTTATACATCCGTACAGTTTCAGCATATTGCGCATTTGCTGCTCCATCAGACAGCCGTCGTAATTGTACCACTTTAGGTAGAGGTTGTCGGCGTTCTCCGAAGACATGCGACATTTTCGCATTGACATTGGCATGTCGATGACTTCCGGTTTATTGACCGTTGGAACGGCGGTTACATCGATCACTACGAGGCTTTTCTTTTTCAGCTCTAATTTTCTATCCGTACTTATTTCCGCTGTTGGGTACTCGTAGCGATTCATCAGATAAGCCTTGCATAAAATTGAGAATTTTTTCATCAATCAATGACAATTAACAATTGGCAAGAACATCAAAATGAATACACCTCAGTCCCCATTAGCTTTCGATCAATACGCAATAAATCAAGTGACGCTGCGACTGTCTTCTATTGGCGTTTTTTTCAAATTCAAATTTGAGGAAGTAGGGTTATCGGTGCAGTTGCGGTCATGTGACCCCGAATACTGGATATTGATTGGTTGGAGTGAGAGTGGATGAAAATAATCGAGACATTTAATTTAATAACTAACAGAGATATGGGCATTAGCTCGTGGAAATTAAGTGGGAATGGTATTTCGAATGGATATTTCCAGTTGAGTATTTCGCTCGAAATAAATATCTGATATTTAATTTCCACAATTATTTTAAATAGATATTGTTGGTGTTCTCCGAAGACATACGACATTTTCGCATTGACATTGACATCCCGATGACTTCCGGTTTATTGGCCGTTGGAACGGCGGTTACATCGATCACTACGAGGCTTTTCTTTTTCAGCTCTAATTTTCTATCCGTACTTATTTCCGCTGTTGGGTACTCGTAGCGATTCATCAGATAAGCCTTGCATACAATTGAGAATTTTTTCATCAATCAATGACAATTAACAATTGCAATTAACAATTGGCAAGAACATCAAAATAAATACTCCTCAGTCCCCATTAGCTTTCGATCAATACGCAATAAATTAAGTGACGCTGCGACTGTCTTCTATTGGCGTTTTTTTCAAATTCAAATTTGAGGAAATAGGGTTATCGGTGCAGTTGCGGTCATGTGACCCCGAATACTGGATTTTGATTGGTTGGAGTGAGAGTGGATGAAAATAATCGAGACATCAAAATGAATACTCCTCAGTCCTCTATTAGCCCTCGACGAATGCATTATAAATTAATTGACGCTGCGACTGTCTTCTATTGCCATTTTTTTCAAATTCAAATTTGAAGAAATGGGGTTATCGGTGCAGTTGCGGTCATGTGACCCCGAATACTGGATTTTGATTGGTTGAAATGAGAGTGGAAAATTTAAGTACGTTGATTATTAAGTCATTTAGATAGATTAGGCAGTCTCGTAATTTGTATAATATGAAAATTATAAATAATGCTTTCCGTCATGAGTATTATTTTGGACTGTTCATTTTATTAATTTCATTATGATACTTTGTCTATTTGATTTTGATCCTGTAATTGGCCATGTGCTGTTGGGTCTGTGTGAAATAAAAATGAAAATGAAAGTGGAAGCTCACATATGGAAGTTTCTCCTTCGTTTTCTTTATTAAAATCGTCAATCGCCCCTTCTGTTTTCTGTGATTTATAAAGAGCTCCAGTCCGGTTGTATTACCCGGCTTGATGGATTGCAGAGAATTCGCTGATAGACACAGTCCGCTATTGGTTTGCAGGGGGAAAAACAGATCGCAGCAGTTGATCTCTTCGTCATTCCACAGACACTGTGCGAGCATATTTTCACAGGTTGGCTGGGTCAGTCTTATTATTTCTGCGAGTTCCTCTTCAGTGGGGATGTTCTTCGATTTTAATCCAAGCGATTGGTAATCCATTATATTTTTGGCATCTAAACCCCTTGAGTACATGAACCTGGAATTGAGATGGCAACTCGAGTACATTCGAGATTTCGTTAGAGCTTTCTGTAGGAGATATTGATAATTCTATTGGCGTTTCTACAGGACATTCACTGGGAAAAATCAATAAGAAATACCATTAAAAATAGTATAGAAAATCTTGTAGGTTTTCCATAGAAAACAGGAACGATTAATAGAGAATTCTACAGATTTTTGCTTCCGAGTGGAAGCATTGTATTCGTCAAATCTAAAAGGGGGTGAACTTCTCACATTTTGCAGAAAAATCGAGAAATTTCTGGAGGCTTCGAGAAAATTCGAGAGATTTCTCAAATTTTCTGGAAAATTCGAAAAACTTCTCACATTTTCTAGCGAAATCGAGAAATGTCGCGAGTCTTCTAGAAAATTCGAATAATTTCTGAAGTTTTCTAGAACATTCGCGAAGTTTCGCCATTTTCCTGGGAAATTCGAGGAACTTCTCAAGTTTTCTAGAAAATTCTCAAGTTTTTTAAAGAGTCCAAGAAAGTTCTTGAGTTTTCAAGTGCATTAAAAAACTTCTCAAGTTTTTAGGAAAACGCGAGAAACTTCAACTTTTTCTTTATTGACTTTGACTTGTCATAAATAATATTTCCTTCAATGTGATATCATTCATTCATTTAGGAATGAATAAAAAAACAATAATCATCATCATTATATCAATGATCATATTGATCATCACATCAATTATTCTACATCAATTTTCAACTGGCCGATCGACGAGGCGTGCGCCTCATGTGGCTAGCAATTCTATAGGAGAGTTGCAAGAAATCATTACATCTTCTTCGTTCATTTTCTCAATTGCGATAAAAAACTATTTCCTTTTATGTTCAACGCATCGATATTCTTAGACGTCTTGAGGACTTACTCTTTAGCTTTGTCAGTCGCCTCCATGCAGAAATGCAGAGCCGGGACTTGAGCCTCGTAGCCCAAATAATCTGTGGCCATTGTGATCGAGACATCTCGGGCTGTTGCAAATTGAATTGTACTGATGACCATCACTCCACAGGCCCAACAACTCACACCACAAGCTATTATCCAGAACAATCGCTCGGTCCAGTGTCTGTCTGGCTCCACGAGGTACTTGAACCCGTGGATGCTCGAGTTCAACAAGTACTGCTTCAATGAACTCCACAAAAAGAATTTCCTCTCCTTTCTTTTCGCCTTCCTTTCCATTTCGCAATTTTTATTGATCAATGAATTTAATTTTCAGTTGAATTTGAGATAACAGAGGATCAAAATGCACCGAATGGAGAATTTCACCTCTAATTTTAATTTTAAAAATTCTGAGATATTTAACGAATGGGCAATTCCGTGCGGAATTTCAGGCGAATTTACTGGGGTGATTGCTCATTTTCTCTTTCAATTCGTTTTCCACTTCTTTTACCCTTCCACTCCCCAATCAATAGATCTTAATTATTAAAATCCGTGAAGACACGCCAACTGCAGCTGATAATTATCAGAAAATTGTTGACTATCTTGGGAAATTAATCAAGCGGTGAAGTAGCGAAACGGGATAGTAACTTGAAACGTAATTTGAATTATCGTAACGAGTTCAATAAGTACTGCTTCAATAGTAGATTCCACAGGAAAAATTTCCTCTCCTTTCCATTTCGCAATTTTTATTGATCAATAAATTCGATTTTTAGTTGAATTTGAGATAACAGAGGATCAAAATGCACCGATGGAAAATTTCACCGCAATTTTTAATAAAAAAATTTCTAAGATATTCAACGAATGGGCAATTCCGTGAGAAATTTCAGGTGAATTTACTGGAGTGATTGCTCATTTTCTCTTTCAATTCGTTTTCCACTTCTTTTACCCTTCCACTCGCCAATCAATAGATTTTAATTATTAAAATCCGTGAAGACACGCGAACTGCAGCTGATAATTATCAGAAAATCATTGAATATCTTGCGTAATTAATCTGGGAGTGAAGTAGCGAAACGAAATAGTAACTTGAAACGTAATTTCTGTGGAATCGATAGAACATTTGAATTACCGTAACGAGTTCAATAAGTACTGCACAACAAATTCCACAGGAATAATTTCCTCTCCTTTCTTTTCGCCTTCCTTTCCATTTCGCGATTTTTATTGATCAATGAATTCAATATTTAGTGGAATTTGAGATAACAGAGGATCAAAAGGCACCGATGGAAAATTAAACTTCAATTTTTAATTAAAAAAATTCTAAGCATTTTAACGAATGGAAAATTCCGAGCGGAATTTCAGGCGAATTTACTGGAGAGATTGCACTCTCCAATTAATACATCTCAATTATTAATAATCCGTGAAGTCACGCGAACTGCAGCTGATAATTATCAGAAAATGATTGACTATCTTGGGAAATTAATCAAGCGGTGAAGTAGCGGAACGAAATAGTAACTTGAAACGTAATTTCTGTGGAATCGATAGAATATTTGAATTATCGTAACGAGTTCAATAAGTACTGCTTCAACAAATTCCACAGGAATAATTTCCTCCCCTTTCTCTTCGTTTTCCTTTCGATTTCGAAAAAATGGAAATTTGAGCCATTTCGCTTCCATTGGAAGCAAAAATTGAAGAAAGGAAACCGGAAACGGAGCAGATGGCGCCCCCCAATTTTCGTATTTTCGAGGTCTCGAAAAACTTGCCTCCTCTCTCCCTTCACTCCGCAAAAAACGTTGGAAACCTCGTCAAAACGAATCGGTAAAGCCCAAATTTTCATCTCTTTCTTTTCGTTATTTTTTTTCGTCCGAACTCCGTTGGACACTCGTTCGATTTCACCTTAGGAGAGGTACGTAGAGGAAAAAAAAAAACAAAAAGCCACTTCATTCAGTCCCAAAAAGCCGAATGTGCCATAACACTTGGGAGGATTTTTTTCATGATTTTTGATTTTCGCGATTCTGAGGTAAATTTGACTTTTATTGTTGAAAGGGAAGGGAAGTAACGTGTGTCCTAGCCATGGCGTTGCATCTGGCGTACGACGATATTGGCAAGGGATTTGTTCAGCAATATTACGGGCTCTTCGATGATGCTCTGCAGAGATCAACCCTCGTTAACATGTACAATGTGAGTAGATGATTAATTGAGGAAAATTCGTTGGGGGGAAGACGTGGAATTGCAGTTTTGGGGGTTGTCTCGATGCCGGGGGATGAACATAACCTATAATTTTGTGGTTTTTCAGAATGACTCCTTCATGACGTTTGAGGGAATACAGATAAAAGGAGTTTCCAATATTATGGAGAAATTAAATGTGAGTTGGATTTGTTTATTTATCTATTTGTGTAGTTTCGTCTGTTTTTTTCATGATTTTCGTCATTTTTTCTTTTATCAATTGATTAGCATAGAGAAGTGTGGAGTATACATTTTTCAGTCAATTTAAGGGTCAGTAACCTTTTGCAATGAATACTTTTTGCTTTCGAATGGAAGCTTTGTAATCCCTCAAAATTAAGTTTCCAACTTTTGTTTTAGGGTAACTAAATAAATCTGTATAGGGGAGAGTAGGGTAAAATGGACACTAGACTTTTTTAAAATTATTCATAACTCAGAAATAAATGTATCAATAGAGCTCATCACAAAGGGAAAGAATTGTTCTTTGTATTGAAAAAAAAATTGAATCTCATCAACATTTCAACCCGTCACTAACATTTAGAAAAAAATCAAAAGTGTCCATGTTACTCCCACACCTCCCCAATTTTCCTGAAAGGAATCAATCGAATTTAATTTAAGCTCACCAATTAAAATTCAATTTTTCATACAGATTCAAAAAAATTGATATTTTTCCAAAAATCGCTTTTTCAATGATCACTTAAAAAATTGTCCTCAAAGTGGAATTTGTTATGGCTCATAAAATTGATAACAATACGCTCTCGATTCTGTCGGAATGTGGTGGGGGTCGCACAATTCGTTGTTGAGTGACAGCCCATTCGAGGTGCTATGTCCGAAGAATTTATCAATGCGTTGGAGGACTATGTTTTAATTTATATTTAACAGAAAGCTAAAATTTTTAAATTTTTAAAATTATTGGACGACGCGAAGTTTTATACTCTTACCTTGGCAAAGGGGCTTTCTGGGTAGAAAAGAATTTCATAACTAGGGAAAGGATTAAGTTCTCCAAAAACGTTGAACATCAAGAGATTTAAAATTGGTTTATGCTTTAATTATGAATTTAAGAAAAATTTAGGTTTACAAAACAGAATATTTAATTTACGAAAATCTAACAATTCAATTATCTCGAAATTTTCTACCCCTGGAATGACCTTAAGGATTCAAATTTGGGTTTACAAATTTTATCACTCACAATTCGGTCGGTTTTGTATAAGTTAATCGATGAACTTGTAGATCCCTGGGTAAATCCGTAATTTCCTCACCAGCAATTAGTCGTGCTAAAGGCTATTGTGGATTCTTTCACAGAAACACTTTCTTCTACTCGATGTATTTTAATAAATTTTGGCAGTTGAATTTTAAAGTTTTATGAGGCTGTCCACAACGCGTCACAATAAACGAATTCTTTATTTGTTAGAATAGTCACCACTCTCGATTAAAGAAATTTTACTCCCGGATAATTTCAATTGTTCGTAACCTACTATTAATTCAGTACTATCCCGCGTAATCGAAGGAAGGATTGAAAAACCGGACCGATTAAGCGAACTATTTCCACCAGAATTGTTACTGCTCCGTTGCTGCTTCAAGACTGATTAATTTGGTTTTTCTGGGGTTTTTATGTGAATTTTGGGGTCACTTGACTCGTGGGGGTTTCCGCAAGTCAAGTTTTGAATGGTGGAAAATGTCGTATGACTATTCCCACTCTTTAATTGTTATTTGGGAGAAGTAGTTCACTTGGGTTTTTAGGTTTCGATTCATCGGTTCTCCGTTTGCGAATTTTAATATTGAGAAATGGGATCACTCTGAGCGAGCCATTTCATCATTTCTGTACTCGATTCCAATGTCTTTGGGATTTTGAATCGAGTTCAAATGATGAAATGTATTCTAATTAATTTACATTAATTGATTTGTTTTTTTCTTATTAACATAAAATAATTTTATAAAATTTTTGGGCATTACACAGGCAACGAATTTTTTTTTCAACAGAGTTTTTATTCAGTCAACAATCAATTATATACAGTATATACATGTATAAAAACTGGTCTAAAAAAATTATGTAAAATATTTTTTTTTAATAAACTTATGGCCAATTAGTGGCTCTCGAGTTTAAACTGGATATTGAGATTGTGTTTCTCTACTTGATTATCAAAAATATATCTATTAATAATTAATTATGTACATTATTATATGCTAACAGTATTTGTTTACAACTAAAGTGCCCAAAAAAGTAGAGAAAAATGGGGTTGCTCTGTGTTTTGAAAAAGAGGCACTAAAATATTCGCGAACAGTGCGGTTGTGAAAATGTAAGAAATATTCACAATTTTAATTATTTATCATAACAGGGTATTGGGTTTAAATTCTTCGAGATTTTTCATCGTAATCATGCCCTCACCCAGAAATTGATCTGTTTACCCGATCTACAGTGTAAGAATTTAATAAAACATTCGAAACTCATAAAAGTTTTCATTTCCAGAGCCTGAGTTTTAAGAAAATCGGAAGAGTACTCACCGCAGTGGATTCACAACCCACGTTAGATGGTGGAGTCCTCATTCACGTCCTCGGGAGGCTGAAGGTAACAAAAAATAATAATTTATCAAACCCCTGCCCAATTATCGAATTAGCCTAGAACTGACGCTAGAATTGATAGAAATTTGTCAATAAGATGTCTGCAATGTGAAAAACTAAATGATACAAATGCTTTGGGCAGACCGATGAGGATCAGCCCCACGCGTACACCCAGACATTTGTCCTGAAGCCGATCGGCACCAGCTTTTTCGTGCAGCACGACATCTTCAGACTCGCGTTGCACGACACCCTCTAAAGCCAATAAATAAATAATTCATTATCCATCGATCAACATTGTAAATCGTGGCAAAGGCAAGGAAACGTTTGCAACATTTGCATTAATTACTTGCACAGTACCTCATTAACTGCTGCTTAATCATTTCAGTCACTCACACGATTCGTTGTTAAGGTATTTATGGCGTAGTCCGGAGAGGTCGAAAAAAAGTCAAGAAATTGATGATTTTTTTTCATTAGGGGAGAGAGGCAAAATGAAACAGTCAAAAAAACGACTGTTGACGCAATTCAAGCAAAAAAAAATTTTGTTATTCAATATTTTCAACTTTTTTTTATTTTTGGGAATACTGATGACAATGATAATTTTCCATTCTACTGAATGGAAAATTATTATTCTCATTAGTATTCCCAAAAATAAAAAAAAAATTATTAAAAAAAATTTAATAAATACATTTTTTTTGCTTGAAGTGCGTCCAACAGTCGTTTTTCGACTGTTTCATTTTGCCCCACTCTCCCCTACATTCTTTGATTTTTTCAAAACCCCTGCGCAAAATCCCAGATAGCGTAAAAGAATGGATAAAACAGAATTTTTTCTAAAAAATACATTTTAACACGGGCTCTTATGGGAATTCGGAAAAAAAATATTTATGTCGTAGAATAATAACTCGTGGTTTAGCAGAATAAAGGTGTTGTATTTAGCACGTTAAATGTGTTTACATCGAGTTTGAGAATGTACTGAGTTTGACTGATATACTATTTGGTCGGGAGCGTGCGGGTTTAAATACCTTTTGTTATGGAAGGTTCGAGAATTGTCCAGAAATTTCGTGAGAGACAAGGATATAATGATGTTTGTCTCGAATACGACGATATAGAATATTCGAGACGCGTTATACGAATTTCGAAATAATAATTCGTTTGTGGCTCACGCCAAAAAAAACAGAAAAAAAGTCGCCGTTTTCCTGAAATTTCGCAATTGGGTGGAGCTTTCATGGAGGAACATAAAAAAAATAATCCAAGTGGCCTATGAGAATTGTTTGGAAGTGATAATTAAAAAACTCATGAAAAATAAAAATTCTGCGTGCACAACTTGGAAGCGCGGAAAAATACGAATGGAGTTGCGATGACAAATTTCGCCGGGGTTGGGTCGTTCACTGAAAATCGGAGTTTTCTGCGGTACATAGTAGAATACTGGTAACTTACCTCTAAATGGTAAAAAAGGTAAATAACTGGGAGAAAAGCCTTAACCCGACTATCAGTGTTAGTAACCTTCGTGACTGAATTCCACCAGGGTTATACCTTGCAAGGGTCATACGTCACGAGGGCTATACCTTGCAAGGGTCAAACGTCACGAGGGTCATACCTCGCAAGGGTCTGCCTCGTGAGGGTCAAAAGTCGCAACGGTCATACCTCACAAGGGGCCAACGTTGCAAGGTTCATACGTCGCGAGGGTTATACTTTAAGGTATAATACCTCGTCGCGAGGTATAACCCTCGTGACGATCATGTCGCCCCTTAGACCCTTGACCCTTATAGTCGCTGGAACCTTTCGATTGTCCTTCCTGCCTCCCCGGTTGTCGCTTGTTGTCGTTTGACCTTTGAGATTGCCCTGCCTAGATCTGTTGTTCGACCATTCCAACGTTCGACCCTTGCAAGGTATGATAAGGGTCATACCTTGCAAGGGTCGAACGTCGGAAAAAAATTGTCTTCTACGTTTTACCACTTCCCCACCAATCAACCGCATTCATCCCCCCCCCTGTAATTAATATTATCGCTAATTTCCCCTCCCCTAGAAACGAATTTCATCACAACTGAAATAATTATTTTTATCTCAGACTGATGACGATCCTCCACACGCATACTCGCAGATATTCGTGTTGAAACCACTGGGGGGCTCATTCTATTGCCAGCATGACATATTCCGTCTTGTTATTCACGAGACAGCATAAATAAAAGCAGCAGCAGCAGGCGAGACGGCACATGGACTAAGTAAAATCAATTGAAAGGATGGAAAAAGATATAGAAGGGGCATCAAAAGAGGCAGAAATAAAATAGGATAAAATTGATGAATTTTTCAGTCACGATTGTATCCCTGTCGTCTTTGCGTATCATTTTATCCAGATCAAATTTTTATACAGGAAAAATAATGCTTCTAATGCCGTAAGAATAAAACATTTATTAATTAATCATCAGCTTTTTTTTCGATTTATGTAAGTTGGAGGTGATATTTTTTTTGTTACAAATTTCCACGCTTTGCCTGTTCGATTTCGATGGCCTCAAAGAGAGCCTGGAAATTACCAGCACCGAATCCCTGGAATAATTTTTAAAACACGAGATTAATAAAGTGATGAATATTGGAGATTGTTGAAGATAAATTTTTTGTATTGTATTTTTAATCCTTTAGTTTGAAGTGGAAAGTGGTGATAATTTCGATTCCATGATTGAGAGAAAATGTCAGATTTTTTCGGGGGAAATTTCATAATAATGTAAAAAACATGTGATATTTTCTCCTAGAATTACTACTTATGAGAATAAATACGAAATTGACAGAAATTTCCAGTCTGATTTTTTTTTCTTAAATTTTTCGCACTGGTTATGAAGTCTTGGGAGTAAAAAAACTACTGAAACGCGGAAAAAACTTGACATCATGAATTCTCAGCCAAAAGCGTATAAAAAAATGTGTAGGTAGAATAGCTTGAAAAATTGGTTCATTTTCATTTTTTTCTAGGACCTGGAGGAAACGAGTTAAAGGTGATCTGAAGAGGATAAATAATTTTAAGAAATGTTTTAAAATGCGAGGTGGTTGACAGGTATAGGCGCCCCCATTTTGCTTGGATGCCCCCCTCCCTCTGCCGCAAGGAGCTTTAAAGATGGCGGCGCCTCCACCTCGTATTTTCAAACATTTCTTTAAATTATTTATCCTCTCCGGCTCATCCCTAACTCACTCCATCCCGTTTCTATAAAATGAACAAATTTTTCAAGCTATCTTTCAGATTTCTCCACCCCCTTTTGACACAGAATTCATGGTACAAAGTGTACTCCACATTTCAGTAGCTTTTTTTCTACTCCCGGGGCCTTTTAAAGGAGGTGAAGTGTCTCTTAAAATTACTCACGTTATGATTCCTCCGTTGAATGATCTCGATGAACAAAGTGGGTCTGTCCTGCACATTCTTCGTGAAAATCTGCAGGAGATACCCGTTCTCATCGTAATCAATGAGAATCTTGAGCTTCTGGAGAACGGAAATATCCTCGAGTATCTTGGTTCCGCTGGTCTTGAGCCTCTTCCGCAGCATGTCATAGTAGCTATCGGGGACCTGGAGGAACTCCATCCCCCTGGTCCTCAGGTTCCCGACAGCTTCGATGATGTCATCAGTGTTCAACGCAATGTGCTGAATCCCAGAGCCCCCATAATACTCGACAAACTCCTGGATCTGAGATCGTTTCTTCCCTGGGGCGGGCTCATTTATCGGGATCTTTACAGTCTCCTCGTAGTTGGTCATCACTATGGATCGGAGGGCTGAGTATTCCGTGTGTAGTTGGGTATCATCGACTGACCAGAACCTGTGGAACTGGAGGTTCTGCTCGTACCACTTGGCAACTGGTTCCATTTGCTGGTCTGGCTGATTCCCGACGCAGTGATCGATGAATTTTAATTTCGGGTCTGGCCTGAGGATCGGTGAGAGAAGAAAGAAAAGTAGATAATCATGCATAAAGATATGTTGTTCAGCAGAAGAGACAGATGGCGAAATAAAAGACCAGGAAAAACGACTACTTGACACAATTCGGGAAACTTTCTTGGTTCTGATTGAAAGTAAAACGACCCCTTATGATCCTTGGGAATAAGGGTTAAACGACCCTTAATGACCCTCGGGAATAAGGGTCAAACGACCCATAATGACCCTCTGGAATAAAGGTCAAACAACTCTTAATGACCCTCGAGAAAAAGGGTCAACCGACCCTTAATGATCCTCGGGAATGAGTGTTAAACGACCCTTAATGACCCTAGGGAATAAGGGTCAAACGACCTTTAATGACCCTCGAGAACAAGGATTAAAGGATCCTTATTGACCCTCGGAAATGAGGGTCAAATTAACCTTAATGGCTCTTGGGAATAACGGTCAAACGATCCTCAATGACCCTCGGAAATAAGGGTCAAGCAACCATTAATGACTCTCGGCTATAAGTGTCAGACGGCCCTTGAGGACGTGTAAGGTAAAGGGTTCAAATGGCTCTTTCTGCCTCTTAAAACCATTTCACAATTAATGCTAAACATTCTTAAGAGTTGTTTGACCCTCAAGACCATTTGAACCTCAACTCCGAACGTTCTTTAGGGTCGTTTGACCCTCAGGTCCATTTGACCCTCAATTAAAAACGTATTTAAGGGTCGTTTGACTCTCAAGACCCTGTTGAACTATCTCAGCCAAACGCCCGTAAGGGTCGTTTGACCCTCAGGGTCATTTGACCCTTGTCCCTGAATCAAATCGTCTTTAGGGTTTGTTCGACCTTCGAGACCATTTGACCCTCAACTCTAAACGTCTGTAAGGGTCCTTTGCTCCTGAGAGCCATTTGACTCTGACCCCCGGTTAAAAACGTTTTCAGGGTCATTTGACCCTCAACTAAATCGCCTTTAAGAGTTGTTTGACCCTGAACTCCAAACGCCCGTAAGGGACTGTCCGCAAGGACTTGTTTGATCTCACGGTCTTTTGACCCCCCACTAAAACCTCTTTAAGGGCTGTTTGACCCTCATGACCCTCTCGAACCCTCAAATCCGAATGTCCTTAAGGGTCATTTGACCCTTGAAACCATTTAACCCTCAACTAAAAACCAAAAAGAGAATCCCGGAATCTTGAGGAACAATCGTTTTTCCTGGAGTTTCATTTTGAACACTCGAAAATGAGAAGTTGAATTTTTCAGAAGACATACAGTAAACGAGTGATTGGATCTGCGGGAGAGTCGACGTATCCTGGCAGGAATTTTCCACTGTAGTTGGTTCTGTCCACCAGAGTATGCAGGGTATCTCCAAACTGAGAGGATGAATTAAAATATTGAAATAATTGAGAAAGACGGATGGCCAGAATAAATAACAGCACGAATAAATCAGAGTTACATGGAGAATAAATAAATACATTCAGTCGCGAAGCTGTAAAATAATTTAAGTCCACTTGGCTATTTCGAGGAATATCTCCGAATGTAAGGGGAGACTAATATGAGTTTTAAAAGTCGCGGGCTATTGGAGTGAGATTTCTCTGCATCCAAAATCGATTATATATGTCTAAAAACGAATAATTAGTGCAAAAAAATTAATTTTTTAATTGTTCTTTTGTCCCGCAGACGCTTAAAATGTTAAAAATAGTCCAGGGTCTTCTATTTTTGAGCTACGGAATTTTTTTTTTCAAAATTTGGTGGAAAAATGTACAATTACAATTACGAAATTAGCTGTGTAGGTGTTTTTTTAAATTCGACACCTACACAGCTAATTTTGTTTTGTTAAATATAAAAATTTGCGCCATTCGTGTAAAATCGACAGGAAAATTATCGGTTATAATACCCCGAGAGCTTCAAAATGATCGGGTATTTCACGTTTCACAGGTTAAAAAAAATTTCCTGCGAAACTTAACGCATTCATTTGTATGCAGGGAAGTTTGAGGGAAATACTCCGATTCATTTTGAAGCTCGAGGGGTATTCGGCGGATTATTTCCTCCATCACCATTTCGATAAATAGAATTGTGGTATTCGGCGTTAACATGGTAAATTCGACAATTTTTTGTTATTCTGTTTGGCAACGGGAAAATTACCGAACGACGGGGTATTATCGATATAATTCTGTTCAGATTGGACCACGGGACGTCGAATTCCGCAATTCTATTGTTCTGAAGGACGATGGGGAAAATAATCCTTAAAATATTTCAAATATATTCTCGATTCTTTCAGAAACATTTTTCGAGCTATTTTACATGAATGATGCCATTTTTAAATATAAAAAATAACGAAATTAGTTGTGTAGGAGTCGAATTTAAAGAAACTAATTCGTAATTGTTATTGCACACATTTTGAAAAAAATGTGTAAATGGTGCGGGGTACACGAACGATAAATTTTTTTTTTGCAATTTAAAAAAATAAATAAATTTTGCAATTTAAAAAAATAGATAAAAAAATTTTTTGCACCGTTTTTAGACATATGTAATCGATCTTCAATGTATGAGAAAACTCATTCCAATAGCCCGCGACTTTTAAAACTCACAGTAGTCTCCCCTTAATTAAGAATTCATCATTTGAATTGAGTATCGAATCATCTCGTCAGATGAACGTCCTCACCGTCTGGAGAGTGGCCATCCTCACGACTCCGTTCTCGTCCTTCTCCTCCCAAATATCTCTGACCACTTTGGCCCCTCGGGCCTTAGCCACTTTGACGATTGCATCGATGTCCACAACGCTGAAAGCGATGTCTCGAACGCCATCCCCATGTCGGGCGAGATGATCGGCCATCAGCTTGTCATTGGGCTCATAAGCAGACTCGAAGACGAAAACAATCTTGTTCTGCTTTACTGCGTGCGAAGCGATCTTACGAGAGCCTGTCTCCAGTCCCTGGTACCCCAGGGGCTCGAAACCGAATCGAGCGACGTAGTAGCCAGCAGCCTGCTTGGCGTTCCCGACCCAGAGCTTCAGGTGGTCGAACGCCAGGAACTGCCCGGCGAGGGGCTTCGGACCCTTGTCGGTGTAGGTGGTCTGAACCAGGAGAAACGGTGATCAAACGATTGAAGGAATTTTTTTTTTTTAGAATTTCGGGGGTGAATTCAACAGGGGAGTGGTTCGTAGGAATGCGAAATTATCTCAGTAGCGAGCGGTTTCGAGGGAAAATGTGAGTAGACATTTTTTGTAGCCGATGAAATTCTCCACAAAAATTATTTCCGACGTTTTTTTGGTAAATCCACTCGTTCTTAAGAGAATTCAACCATTCATAAGATGAGAAGCATTGATTTTCTTACGGAATCCAATTTTTTATGAAATTTCAATTTCTAAAATACATCATTCAAATCACAAACAATCATTTCTTATGACGTCTCAAACATGTGGAAAGCTAGAAAAATTCTCTTATTTAATACAGGGCAGAGTAGCAAAATGAAACATGAAGCTAAATGAAACAGTCGAAAAATGACTATTTGACGCAATTCACGCGAAATAGTATATTTTGTTACGAGTGCGGAAAAGAGTTTTTTGGCTCGTGGGAGGTTTATAGCACGAGCCGAAGGCGAGTGATATAATCCCATGAGTCAAAAAACACTTTTCCGCACTCGTAACAAAATATACAATTTCGCGTGAATTTCCGCACTCGTATCGAAATATGCTATTCTCTCAGTCTGTAAACGAAATTATTTATCAGGGAATTTCACGATACTTAAAAACACTTTTCCCACGAGTATCTAACGATATTTTTCATCACAATGTGTGGAAAAGGGACGTTTCGCACAGCGTGATGGAAACATTTTTTTTTTTGTTAAATATTTTTTATTATTAACTTTTGTTGAGAGTACTAATATTTTTTATTATTAATTTTTCTTGAGAGTACTAATGAGAATAATAATTTCCCGTTCAGTAGAATGAAAAAATATTGAGCAGTTTTGACGGAAAAAGATTTTGTCAATGGATTAATTGAAAACAAAATGAAACAGCAAAATCCAAAGTCCAGAGGAAGACCTAGGGGGAGATCCAGAGGGAGAAAAAGGAAAATGTGATGTTGAATTTCAGTCGAATGAAGGAAGACCAGTGGAATCAGCCTAATCTAATCAATTAAATTATAAGAAAAATAAAAAATAAATAAATAAATAATTCTCATCAGTACTCCAAATAATAAAAAAAGTTGATAAAAAAAAAATTTAACAGAAAATTTTTTTTTCGCTTGAATTGTGTCAAACTGTTTTCGATTGTTTCATTTTGCCCCACTCTCCCCTATTTAATGTATTTTTATATCATCATTTCCGTAATTAGTGATTGCAGAGAAAAATGTCAGTAAATCTTTTTTGTAGCAAATGAAATTCTGCACAAAAATAATATCGACTTTTCTTTTGTAAATTCACTTCACCCGTTATCAAGATATTTCAACAATTCATAAGATGAGAAAAAGTGACGCATGTACAAAATCAGAATTTTCATGAAATTTAAGTTTCTGAAAACTGGAATTATCCTAGGAATTATTGATTTTAGGAAAAAATGTCATTAAATCTTTTTTGTTCCTGATAAAATTCTCTACAAAAATGTTTTTTGACGTTTTTTCATAAATCGACTCGTTCTCAAGACAATTCAGTCATTGACAAGACGAAAAGAATTCACTCTTTCCCGACATCGTAATTTTCATTACGACATTTAAGCTTCTAAAATATAAGAATTGCAGAATAATCTCAATAAGGGGGGTTTCATGGAGAAATGTCTGAAAAATTCTGTCAGAAAATCGTTCAACATTCTCCTCAAACCCCCTCATCATCAACATAATTCCCCACCAAATGAGTTTTGAAAAAGCGTTCTATTCAGCCAAGTATTACCACTTCACTATCAAAATCCCAAGCAATACCTCGAAGACCTTTAAAACCTTCACCGAGATCTGCCTCCTAATCCCCCCAATTTCCAAATGTCTCTTACCATTCCAAAAAAAACTGTAAACTCAAACTGAAAGCGATAGATTCCGGACGATAACTGAGCGCTGCGTCAGAACGTTTCATTTAAATAAGGGGCCCGCGACATGGGCTAGTCACGATCTTGATCCGTGATTGGTGGAGACCGGAGGCTTGTTTACAGGTACCCAGCTCCATAATGAATTTAAAACTCCTCATAATTTATTGCAATCGACGGTAGAAAAACCGGATTGACACGAATCCGTTGCCTGATCCCAGCGTGTTGCCAACGAATTTCGATAATTTTTCCACTGGGGAATGTATTTATTCCTGTCTCGATCAATTTTTTGGCGATTCCGATCATCCAATCATTTGACAAATTGTTTTCCTGCGATATTTACGAATTTAATTCCCAAGGAAAACGACAATTGTCCATTAATTCTTCATATTTATCTCGTTTCTTTTGTTGATCAACTCAATTTCACGCGTCACTGCATTCAAACCATTTTTCATGATTATTCTCTATGATTCCGCTCTCCAGCTCTTGTTTGTTATCCTCATACCGTGATTCAACATCAACAAATCGACGGAATATCTTAAGAACGAGTTTTTGGAGAAAAATCAGAGGCTGATATGGAAATCACCTCGACAGAGTGAATGTTAATCATTCGGGATTTCTAACAGGTTCAGATGATTATTAGAAAATTATCGTCTCACAATTCTTTATTTTGTTGTTCGTTAAATACTGAGTCAGTCTGATGGTTTATTTCAAACTTAAAATTAACATAATTATTTATAAATTATTTTTCTTTTATTTTTCTTTCATACTTTCGTGATTCGAGATTTAGGATGTCATGGGCATTACATGGAATTCGTCCATTAAATTCGAATGATGAAAGACGAATATTTCTTTTATTTTCAATGTAAATGAAAAGTTTTTTATTACTTATTGAAATTAGAAGAATAAGTGCCTGAAATTCCTCACGAAAAATTTCAATTAAATGTAGGAAATACTATAGGATTTCCTACGGAGAACTCGAACATTTCCTATCGATTTTCCTAGGTTTTTGTATATAAGAATTTCATACATAAATTTTCTAGAGATTTTTTCCGATAATTTCCTAGGACTTTTATAGGAATTTCTTGTATAATTTTTTCTATAGGCGTCTTACAGGATTTTTCTATAGACGTTCTATAGAAATTTCCTATAGGATTTTTTCCATAGCTTTTCTATAGAAAGTTCATACACAAATTTTCTACAGAATTCTTTGGATAATTTTCTGCGATTTCTATAGCAATCTCTTACATATTTCTATAGGCGTTCTCTACAGGAATTTTCTAGATTGTTTCGTATTTTTTTTGTAGAAATTTCCACTACTGAGAATAAGAACATTTCCCATATGATTTTTCTTATATAATTTTCTGAACATTTTCTATAGAATTTCCTATAGACATTTCTATACGATTTTTTACACAATTTCCTTTAGAATTGTCTATAGGATTTCTACAGAATGGATAATTCAAACATTTCCCATCAGATTTTTGGTTTTCTATAGAATTTCCTGTAGGATGTCCTAAAAGAAGTCCAATAGTGTTCCCTCTGCCGCTTCTGACAGAATTTTCTATAAGATTTCCTACACCAATTCTTCATGCGTGTATCTACAAAATTTCTCGATTGTCATCCAGCCTGATCTCCTAAACCCTTCCCAATTTCCATAACATATTTAATTGTCGATAAAAAAAAATACCGAAATGTTTTGTCGAATGTTTTGATGACTAGTTTCGTGAGATCCCCATGACATCCTTGTATTCTATTAGCATCTGGGAATGTAAAAATCAAGGTTCCATCAACATTATCAATGACAATATCGTGACATTATTGATTTCTAATAGCAATTCTTATTTAATCTCATCACAGAACGCGTACATTATCTCAAGATTATCTCGAAGATTTAACATACTTGTTACAGTAATTAATACTAATTAATATTAATCGATAACACTGTATTATCTACTTACAACTGAACAAACGATTCATCAGAAAATCGTGCAAGCAAAAATGGAATGGCATCGCTCTGGACAATTGTAAAGCTTATTATGAGTGCGACGGAATTTATTGCTGAATTCAAAATAAACTCATAATTTGTCTTATTAGTTCACCTGGTTTTGTCATTCTGTTTATCCTTCGTCGGGTTTTTTTTACAAAAATACGGATTAATAAAACAGAGACTGGAGTTGCTGAAGCGCTAAAAGTAATGAATCAAATCAACTTCAGCTCAACAATGGCAAGAACAACCTTTGGCACAAGTACCCCTTACAAAATCACAATCCCATGATCCCGTTCCAGGCTTCTCTTCGTCATCAACGGCACATCTTCCACGAGATCCGCTGGTGTTGGCAGTCCACCTGATCCCCTGCTGATGAAAAAACCTCAGTCCTCCCGCACAGAGTCCTCAGTCTTCACAATAACATCATTAAGATTTCTCCCTTTCCTGAACCTATCGTGAATTTTCCCAGCGATCTTCAGCTCCCTCACCCCCCACAGCCTCGACCTCTGGAGAGTCTCCCATTCAGCACGGAGAGAAAAATGAGAGTTCTCAAACAAGGCTCACTTGTGCCAAGAAAATAGTTTTTTGAAAATGATCAAAACAGGAGTTTTTTGTGCCAAACATGCACAGAGTGCACCAAGATGAAATAGTATATTTCGTTACGAGTGCGGAAAAGAGTTTTTTGGCTCGTGGGAGGTTTATCGCTTGAGCCGAAGGCGAATGATATAATCCCACGAGCCAAAAACACTTTTTCTGTACTGCTTCTCACGATTTCTCGTCTGGGAATTGGTATTACATACTTCCCAAACTCGAAAACTTGAAAATCACTACAGAAAAATATTGTTCCTGGGCTGTTACGATGGGGTTTTTTTACTCGTGTGGCGTTGGCCATCGCAAAACCTCATCGCAACAGGCCGGAAAAATACTATTCCCACGAGTATCGAACGATATTGTTCATCACGATGTGAGGAAAAGGGGCGTTTTAGGCACGCGANAAAAATAGATGTAGTTGTTAAAAAAAAATGCATTCTCTGTACACACAAGAAATGTCATTTCCAGCACTACACCTTCGTTATTCGATACTCCAATCGACAATTTGCCGACAAATTGGCGATGTCCTGTTAAATTTTAAATGGCACTAGCAAAAATTGTTTTCTGGGTACGTATTTTCCTCCCGAAAAAAGTTCGTTTTATTCGAAACAAGAAATGGTAGTTTTTCTTTTCGGCTATCTAATAATCACAGACAAGAAATGAACCCTTAAACAAAACAATAATAATTATATGATAGCAATCTTGTAACTTAGGGACAAAATATTTCTTGATAAATTTTCTTCTATATGAGATATTTTCATCCTGAAAAAGCACCGTCTCGTGTGAATTATCTGCTTCTTGAGTCAAATATTTCGTTGTTATCGAAAGCAGAGCAATTATTCATGTTTGAGACTTTCAAATTTGAATCAAACAACTTCTTTTTTGGCAATTTTCAACTAGAGATTTTGTTGGCTCAAACAAAACCTGTTTGACAACGTGTTTGTTTTTCTCTCGGTGAGAATCAATTCAGTAGCGAAGTGGTAAAACAGTTTAAGTCGATTTTGACTATTGGCCAGTTTTTATTGAATATCTCAGAACTTAAGGGAGATAGCTAAATTTTTATCGAGGCCTTTTTTGTAGCAGTCAATTTGCTGTAGAAAAAAGGTTATTACGAGAATTCCATTATCTCCTTTAGATTCGGAGATATTTTTCAAAAACTCAAGTAAGAGATAAGTCGACTTAAACCGCTTTACCACTTCGCTACTGAATTGGGAAGTCTAGAACTCGAATACTCTATCTATCGGACGGGATAGGAACCCGTGTAAGTAGGTTGCGAGTCCTATCTCTCCTAAGGAGCTACTGTCGAGTGGCGAAAATGTGAACTCGTGCAAGTAGGTGGAAGTGGTCCGCAACCTACGCCCCGCCCCCATCTGACTTTCCAATATTGAGGTCTGAGTAGAGCTCCTTGTGCTCGCTGGAGGGCACGGGCTCCATCCAGAGTCCCAGGCCCGTCTCCAGCCTCCCCAGATTACTCCAGTTTATTCCAGATTATTTCTCCCCCTCAGGATTATTTCCAGTGCATCCTCTCCCTCCCAGAAGTCCTCGTCCTCATTATTATTTTTGGTTAATCTGCTGGACAACGTAGAGAGATCGCAGTGCTCGCTTGGAGTAGTCTCTTTACTGCAGAAGCCACTGGTTTTGTTGTCGCTCACCAACAGACAGCTTCAACTGGAGCCTCTCCAGCTCCTTCTTCAGGAGAATCTTCATGCTCTTCTGCCTTCAAAATAAACTCATCATTTGAGTTCATCAATCCACCTAGAAGTTTCGTCATTCTTCATTCAGTTTTATAAAAATATGGACCAAAAACACATCAGGTAGCAAACAGGTGCAATGGAATGAGTCAACTCAACAATGACAAGATCAACCTTTGGTTCAAACTCTCTTACAAAATCACAATCCCATGATCCCGTTCCAGTCTTCTCTTCGCCTTCAACGGGACAACTCCCATGAGATCCGCTGGTGTCGGTAGTCCACCTGATGCCCCTCCCCCCACCCCCTGCTGATAAAAAACCTCAGTTCTTCCGCACTGATTCCCATAAACCACAGTGTCCTCAGTTCTCACAATAACATCAGTAAGATTTCTCCCCTTCCTGAACCTATCGTGAATTTTGCCAGCAATCTCCAGCTCACTCACCCCCCACAGTCCCGACCTCTGGAGAGTGTCCCACTCAGGATCAATGCTGAGGACCGAGTAGAGCTCCTTGTGCTCGCTGGAGGGCATGGGCTCCATGCAGTGCCCCAATCTCGTCTCCAGCCTCCCCAGGTGATTCATACACGTCTCCCAGAGATTATGAATCAACTCAGGATTATTTCCAGTGCCATCCTCCATCAGCAGGACCATCACCATGTTCTGGTGTCCACAGATGAAGAGCTCGGCCCTCTCCAGGGTCCCAGGCTCCCTCTCCCCCAGCCAAAAGTCCTCGTCCTCATTGTTATTCTTGGTTAATCTGCTGGAAAACGTGGAGAGATCGCAGTACTCGCTTGGGGTGGTCTCCTTGCTGCAGAAGCCACTGGTCTTGTCGTCGTTCACCAGCAGACTCAGCTTGGACATGAGTGGGGTCAACTGGAGCCCCTCGAGCTTCTTCTTCATGGGCATTTCAAAAGAAACCCCCTCTGACGACGACTTTCTTCGGTCCTCCGGCTCCTCTGGAGCGTTCAGACTCTTCAAGGGAAGACTCATCGACCTTCTGCACGTCTCCTGGCGCTTCTTCCTGACTTCGCCAAGTCTCACGTCCAGTGGAGGTGGACTACTCGAGATCATGACATCAAAGTCCTTCAAATGAGTCGAGTCAATTCCATTGGCTCTTGGCGGAGGTGACAAAGGCTTTGAGACATCCTTGGAGACCTTCTGGATTTTAACTAGCTCCTGGTAATGACAAGATATGTAGTGATCATACAGATCCTGCGACACTGGTGATCCATCAAACTTGAATACTGGGTAACAGGGGTCTGTTATCGTTGTGAAGTGACCCCTTCGTTTCGGGCGGTCATCTGGGGTGTGCGAGGACTCGACGTCCTCCAGGTCTGACACACTGGAGCTCCTCCTGATCCAGGCTATCTTCTTGAGTTTCTTCTCCTGGTCCAGCCCTCCAGACCTCAATTTATTCAGTCTCTTGCACCTGAGGGCTTCCTTCACGACGTCTGGGATGTCGTCAATACCCCCGGGGGTTCCCCTAGACTCCTCCAGAGGCACTTCCTCCGATTCATCCCCTGTATTGCAGATCAAAACAGCTGTTTCATGGAGAACTCGATTGATGTCCTTCAGAGGTGTTGAGCAGACACTAGGTGTCAGGGGATGCTGCACTCGATTCTTGGGTCTGAATTCCTGTTTGGCTGGTAGGGAGCCTCGTCTGATTGTTGGAGGGGGTGGAGGATTGTCAGGATTATCCGGGGGATCAGCCTCCCCTTCTTCAGGGACTGTGAAAATCCTGGAAGTGTCTCGTTTCATTCCGCAACTGGCTAAAGACGATTTCTTGTACTTCTTGCTCATGTGATTGTCGTTGATGGGGTTGGGGTGCTTCGGGGGGTCCTCTTGCCTCCTCTGGATGTAGACTCTCAGCAGCTGGACACCCAGGGGCAGGTGGAAGTCCGTGGGAATTCTGTCTGCTGGGGCTTTTATTCTGTAAGGATCTGTTATCACCAGCTGTTTTGTGAGATCTGGGGTCAGCTGGGTTGCCACCACTTTGTTGTTGAAGAACATGGCACCGCCGAGGATACCCTGGGTCTCCTGGCAGTACTGGAGGAGCTGCAGGGACTCCAGGAAGACGTTGCTCGCGGTTTTTGGGAGCTTTATCATTGGCATCGAGGAGAAGAGGCTCGCGTTGTACTGGAGGATTGGGAGGTACGTCTCCAGCATCTGGTACAGCTTCTCGGTGAATTTATTTCGGTCGTTGTTGAGGGAGTGGTTTATCGTGTCCAGGTCGCAGTGGAAGAACTTGAGGATTTGCTCCAGGAAGTTGCCCCGACGCTCCAGAATCCAGTCCTGGATGTTGCGGTCTGTGCCGATTGCTAGGATGTAGTTGTTGAATCTTTTCAGGACGAATTTACCACCCTGGAGGGCGATCAGGGTTGGGGGGGAGAAGGAGGTCGAGAGGAACTGGTGGACTCCCATCAGCTGGCCGGCTAGTGCTAGCCGCTGGGTTGCTGAGACCCAGGCTGGGTGGAAGTAGAGGACTGCTTCCGCTGGGTCGTCGTCCTCTTTCCGACAGCGAGTCGTGTCGTAGATGAAGACTATCATCATTTCTCTGGGGAGAGGAGGAAGGGGGTTAGTCTCTGGGGGTTTCTGGGAAAGAGATGTTTTGGGGGTTTTCAAAAGGACTATTTTTTTTAAGAATTGCTGGGACGCAACGACTGATTAGTAGCGAAGCGACAAAACGGTTCAAGGCAATTTAGACTGTTGGTCAGTTTTCAAGGAATATCTCGGAATTTAAGGGTGCCAAGTGAATTTGGCGATGACGTGGAAAATTGACATTCACCAACAAAGTTATAATTTTTTTAATTAATAGACAGGTCGAGGTAATAGACAGGGGTTTTTTTTAATTAGACAGATGGTGAACATCGGTGACAATTTTAAAATTTTAGAACTTATGGATATCGAGAAACTAAATAAACAAAATCAGTCTTAGACACGGCCTCTTATGGAGTTTTGATTAAATTGAACGTTTCAACCCCCTAGGAACTCAAGAAAAATTTGAAAAAATTTGAAGATATGGGGAATGATGTCTTCAATGTGATGGCGACAAAAAACAATGGGGTACCGGGGTGAATAAGAGAGGTATTTCAACCCGCCGTACCCATTTGATCCCATGCTTTCTCGAGGTTCGTCCGCATTTATTTTTTCGATGTCTAGTTCCGGTTGCGGGTTTGAAATTTCGTCGGATGGATGAATAGATATTTCTCCAATGATGGAGGGAAAGAAAAAATTTTTTTTGAATCTTTTTTCAAATTCACTTGGCACCCTTAAGGCAGATAGCGAAATTTTTGTAATGACCTTGTTTAAAACGTAGCTATATGTGGACGTCCACATGAAAAAGGGCCATTTGTCGATGGCCGAATTACTCGACGGCGAATTTATGGAGATTTAGCTTTGTTTCAAATGAGATTTAGCTTCGTTTACAAAAATTTCGCTATCTCCCTGAGGTCCGGGGATATTCCGCGAAAACTTAGCTAAGAGCTAAGTCGACTTAAATCGTTTTACCGCTTCGCTACTGAATGATCTCAGCAGCGAAGCGGTGAGACTATTTGAGCCCATTTTGATTAATGGCTAGTTTTCAATAAATATCGGGGAATCAGGGCAGCTAGCGAAATTTTTGTTAAAACCGTTTTTGTAGCTTTCAATTCGCTCCACAAAAAAGGTTGTTACGAGAATTTCGCTATCTCTGCCCCTGAAGCCTTGAGAGTGAAAAAACAATTACTGTTGTGCGAGGAAAAGTTTGGACCATGAATTCTCAGTCAAAAAGCGACGGAAAAATCTGAAAGGTGGCTGAAACAATTTGTTCATTTCATAAAAACTGAATAGAGCGAGTTCAGGGTGATCTGGAGAGGATAAATAATTTTAATAAATGCTCCAAATTGCGAGGTGGAGGTAACGAATTGAAGATGATCTGAAAAGTATAAATAATTTTCAGAAATTATTTATCTGTTTCAGATCATCTTCAATTCGTTTCATCCAGTTTCTGGAGAATGGGTATTTTTTTCAATATAAAGAACAATTCTGCCCCTTTGTGACGAGCCTAAACTGAGCTCAATTGATAAATTTGTTTCTGAGTTATGAATAATTATTTAAAAAAATCAAAAGTGTCCATTTTACCCCATCCTCCCCTACTCCCAAGAATAAAAAAAAAATTAATAAAAAAAATTTTTTTTGGTTGAATTGTGTCAAAGAGTCGTTTTTTTGACTGTTTCATTTTGCCCCACTCTCCCCCACATAAAAAACCAAACGGAAAAAATACATACACAAGTTTATAATCAGCATTATCCTTAACGAAGATCAAAGAATTGAAGAGAGACATGTAGAAATTCATGCAAGACCTCGAAACCCCCAAAATAATTCCCTCAATCCCCCAAGCACTCCATCATCACCGAATAATGACGCAACTTACTTAGCCATGGTAATGGTTCCAACTTTTTCTCAGGGTTCTCGGATAATCCTATCAACACCCTACACTCCCCCTAGTCTTTCCCGATAATCCGCAGTCAATTCCCCGAGTTGTCCCCCACAATCTCCAATCATTCTCACCCAACAGCCGTTGATTATCATCTCACGAGCCCCAGAAACCCTCAATTCCCTCACATAATCACGAATAATCGTCAATAATTCGAGGAAAACATTGAACACACGGAGTAATCAGTTGCAGCCAGTCGCCATGATGATTTTTACGCCTTAATTTTTCTTCTGCATCTGCAGTATCGACTGAACCCCAACAAGAAACCATAATAAATGAGATTTTGAGGTTAAAGTCCAGGGATGATGATGTGAGGGAAATTATCTTCATTGTTGGGTGATCAAAATTCACATTTTGATGAAAGGTCATTAGATCTTGAGGTAAGTTCTAGATTAAGAAGCTTCTCATAGTAGAGCCTCATTAGTCTTTAGCTCCTCTTAATTTATTTATTTCTGCATCAAGATCCAGAAGCTCAGGGCCAATTGCAGGGTTAAATAATTCCATACAATTTTCATATCTTAAGATAGTATTATAATGATATGTAATCTTTTTTAAAAACATCAAAATGTGGAAAATAGGTGGCAATTTCATTTTTGGGACGTCCTTCGTGAAATATCAGCTGTAGCTTCCCACCAAGAATTCGTGATTTCTTCATAAAAATTCCATGAATCTGGCGTGGAAAATTGAATGAAATAGCTAGTAGAAAAATATAAATAATCACAGAGCAGTTGAAAAATGAGAAACATCCTCATGACGTCCAACACTGGCCTTCTGATTTAGTGCTGATTATTAAAAGTCTCATTTCAGCCTTCTGACTCCTCTTAATTTATTCATTTCTGCATCAAAATCCAGAAGTTCAAGGCCAATTGCAGGATTCAATAACTCCATACAATTTTCACATCTTAGGACAGTATTATAATTCACTAGCGAAGTGGTAAGCCGGTTTAAGTCGACTTATCTCCCAATTGAGTTTTTGAGGAATATTTCCGAATCTAACGGAGATAGCGAAATTTTCGTAATTACATTTTTTGTAGCTTTCAATCGGCTCTACAAAAACGGGCATAATAAAAATTTTGCTATCTCCCTTAGATTCCGAGATATTTATTGAAAACTGGTCAATAGTCAAAATTGACTTATACCGTTCTACCACTTCGCGACTGAATTATATCTGATCATTCTTAAAAACATCAAAATGTGGAAAATAGGTGGCAATTTCATTTTTGGGACGTCCTTCGTGAAATATCAGCTGTAGCTTCACACCAAGAATTCGTGATTTCTTCATAAAAATTCCATGAATCTGGCGTGGAAAATTGAATGAAATAGCTAGTAGAAAAATATAAATAATCACAGAGTAGTTGAAAAATGAGAATCATCCTCATGACGTCCAACACTGGCCTTCTGATTTAGTGCTGATTATTAAAGGTCTCATTTCAGCCTTCTGTCTCCTCTTATTTATTTCTATTTCCTCTTTATTTATTTTTGCATCAGGATCCAGAAGCTCAAAGCCAATTGCAGGCTCAGATAACTCCATACAATTTTCACATCTTAGCATAGCCTTATAATTAAATCTACTCTTTCTTAAAAACATAAAAATGTGGAAAATTGGTGCCAAGTTCATTGTTGCGTCGTCCTTCATGAAACATCAGTTGTAGCTTCTGAACAAAAACATAAAAATTACATGCACCTGGCTTGGCAAATTCAATGAAATCGGCACAGCAAATACCTAATAGAGAAATATTCCACAATCACAGAGTAGTTAAAAAGTAGTTAAATCCATTTGTTAAGGCCATTTCAGATACGAGAAATTCACCTCGTTAACTCCCACAAGATATGTTGACAAGAGAATCATCCTCATGATGTCCAACACTGGTCTTCTGGTCTTGACGAACCCAGCGAGAGTCAAGAAGCTCCTCCCAGTGATAAAACGTCACGTCCTCCAGACCCTGTACATCCAGTACTCTCCGAGGAGAAGAGCCATCCCCCAGTACCAACTCAAAGCCTCTCTAAACTCCAAAACCATCACGAGTATCTACGCCCTGGCGACCTCCTGCCTCTCCCGAATAGACGTGAGAGTCCTCATCTCCAAGACTAGTCAAAACTCCTCGACAATAACCACCGGAAGACCCATTGAACTAGTGATATTTGATGGGAGCTACCCTCAGGAGGATGCGGACACCTTCATCCAGAAGTTCCTGAAGAACAGGTCGAGGTCTTGCAGCTACATCTCTCTGGATGTTGATGATCGATCTGAGGCTGATGAAGGGGAGAAATGTCTCCTTGAAGATGATGAAGACGTTGGGAGGACTTCCTGGGGGAAAGTTGTGCTGGGGGGCACCTTCGACAGGCTTCACAATGGCCACAAGATACTCCTGAGCGAAGCTGTTCTTCGCTGCGAGGAGAAGCTGACTGTTGGAGTCACTGATGAGACCATGATCCAGGGGAAGGTCCTCTGGGAGCTGATTGAACCTTGTGAAAAGAGGATTGAGGCTGTTAAGGAGTTCCTTGAGGACATCGATGGGTCCCTCCGCTACGATGTCGTCCCCATTTCTGATATGTTTGGTCCCACCAAGAGCGAAGACGATCTCGACCTGATTGTCGTCAGTGAGGAGACGAAACGAGGAGGGGAGAAGGTATTTTTTTTTACTTTTGGGTTTTCTCACGGTCCTAACGATTGTTTTGATGATATTGAATGAACATTTTGATGTTGAGAGGGTTATTGAAGAGTTATTCGGGGGGAAATTAATAAGAAGGGGTCGATAAAGTTGTTTAGAATCGACTGCTTGTTAAAGTAGCTCTACCCTTACGGTAAATTCAAAGATTAATGAACACTGCAAAAAAATTGCAGAAAACTCGATTAGATTCGGAATTCTAATTTTTTTATCAATTTAATTATCGTTTTGGTTTTTCAAAGAAGAAATTTTTTTTAATCAGGATTTAACCCAGTGTATTATGTGAAAATCAACATTTCCATTGTAATCAAAGATTAAAATATGAATTTTTTTTCATTAGATGTGAAAAAATCAAGGATTCTTTTGACACCTCATAAAAAATAATCCACCGTTTTGCAAACAAGTTTTATTATTTATTTATAAGAGGGAAATGTTTGAAAAAATATCAATATTTTGCGAAATTTAATTTAGATAATACTGACTGGGTATGAATTTTTTCAAATTTTTTCCATGCAATTTAGTTGAAAAATTTAAAAACTGAAAATATCCAAGAGTACAGGTAGCCCTGCCGAAGGGTAGAGGTACTTTAAGTAAATGAACGAAATTATGACATTAAGCAATTTTACTGAAGGTTTTTGGTGAATATCTGGGAATCTATGGGAGATACCGAAATTTTTGTTCAGACATTTTTTGTTGGTCTTGTTTCGTTCTGCAAAAAAGGTCTGAATGACGATTTCGATATCTCTGTAGGATTTGGAGATATTTAGGAAAGAGTGATCAAATAAAAATTTCTCATTTTTATTTACTGATTTATTTTTCATATCTTTCTTCATTCATTTATTTATTAAATTATTTGGTTATCCAATTATTTATTTATTAGGTAAATGAATTGAGAAAGGAAAAGGGTCTGAGAATCCTAGACATTCACGTAGTAAAACTAGCTGAGGACATGGGGCACAGCGAGCACGAGGAGTCAAAGATCAGTTCGAGTAACCAGAGGATACGACTCCTGGGGACGAGGCTGAAGGAGCCTGACCTGGCGGGGAAGAGGTTGAGGCCCTACATCATTGGACTGACTGGGGGAATCGCCAGTGGGAAGTCCTCGGTGGCTGAGAAACTCCAGTCGCTGGGGGCTGGAGTGGTCCACTGTGATAAATTGGCTCACGACCTCTACGAACCAGGAAGGACGGGTTTTCAGAGGGTGGTTGAGGTCTTTGGGGAGGACATTTTGGATGCGGAGGGGAGGATCGATAGAAAGAAACTGGGGAAGATTGTATTCAATGATAAGGTATGTTCAGGAAAATTAGAGCCAAGATAATTTGGCATTCAATGATATTTCTCATTAAGGGGTGACTACTATGAGTTTTTAAAGTCTCGGGCTATTGGACTGAGATTTCTCATATATTAAGATCGATTATATACGTCTAAAGACGAATAATTAGCGCAAAAAAATGTTTATTGTTCGTTTGCATCGCAGACGCTTAAAATGTTAAAAATAATCCAGGGCCTCCAATTTTTGAGCTACAGAGGTCTTTCTTTTCCGAAATTTTTGGAAAAATAAGTGCAATAACAATTACGGATTATAATTAAAAATTGCACAATTCATGTAAAATAACTCGAAATTTTTTTTTTCAAATGGAGAATATATTTTTAATATTTTAAGGATAATGTTTCTGCCTATTTTACATGAATGGCGCAAATTTTTATATTAAACAAAACGAAATTAGCTGTGTAGGACTCGAATTTCAAAAAACTAATTCGTAATTGTTATTGTACACATTTTTTCAAAAATGAAAAAAACAAACCTCTGGAGCTAAAAAATTAGAAGCCCTGGACTATTTTTAACATTTTAAGTGTCCGCGGTGGAAACGAACAGTAAACAATTAATTTTTTTGCGCTAATTATTCGTTTTTAGACATAAATAATCGATCTTCAATGCATGAGAAATCTCACTCCAATAGCCCGCGACTTTCAAAACTCATAGTAGTCTCCCCTAAAAAGAAATAATATTCAATCTAATAAAATGGAATAAACAATAAATTATACATGATAGAGGGAACTGATACACAATACAAGAGCCATTTTCCACTTGTTTTTCCTAGGAACAATTAGATAGATTGAATAAAGCAGTTTGGCCAGCGATTCTGGATGCCGCCCTGGCAGAAGTTGAGAGGCTCCACACCGAGGGCTACGAAATCATCGTGATGGAAGCTGCAGTCCTCATCCAAGCCAAGTGGCAATCAGTCTGCCACGAGATCTGGACCTGCATAATTCCCCACAAAGAGGCTGTGAAGAGGATGATGGAGAGGAATGGTTTGACTGAACAAGAGGCCGAGGCCAGGATCAATGTCCAGCCCAGCAATACCGAGCAGGTAGAAGCAGCCACTGTTGTCTTGTCCACTCTCTGGAGTCATCAAGTCACTCTGGAGCAAGTCAATCGTGCCTGGAAGGCAGTCAACGACTTCCTCAGCTCAAAATCGTGAATGTCGTACTGTCATTCAATTCCAATTTGTGAATATTACCTTAAATGTATATTGGGGGGTTTTAGATGAAAATCGTTGGGGATTGTTAACCAATTTATTCTTCATTTTATTTTTTCAAAGGAATGATCGAAGAGAGGACAGATGAATGGATGAATTAATTGTAGAATAAATAATCATGTGGATGAGTCATCATCTTCATCTGAAGGCCATTGTATTGTCCCTGAGGATAAGATTCTCCTCCTGCTCTTTCTTCTCCTGGATCATCGTCATCAGGGTCCCCAAAAATGTCTGGAAATCGCTTTTCAACTTGTTCCCATCGTCTTCGATGTTGCAGTTTACTTGAGATATTTTTGCAAATGCTGGGGCTGAAATTAAGGGGAGACTACTATGAGTTTTAAAAGTCACGGGCTGTTGGAGATTTCTCATGCATTGACGATCGATTATATGTCTGAAAACGAATAATTTGTGCCAACAAATTCAGTTGTCATTGTTCGTTTGTCCCGCAGACGCTTAAAATATTAAGAATAGTCCAGGGCTTCCAAGTTTTGAGCCATGAATTTTTTTTTCAAAATTTTTCAACTCCACAGCTGATTTCGTTATGTTTAATAAAAAAATTTGCGCCATTCATGTAAAATAGAAAAATTATCCTTAAAATATTAAAAATATATTCTGGATTCTGTCAGAAACATTTTTTGGGCTATTTTACGTGAATAGTGAAGTTGGTTATTAAAAGAAAATGAAATTAGTTGTGTAGGAGTTGAATGTCACAAAACTAATTCGTAATTGTTATTGCACACATTTTTTCAAAAATTTTGAAAAACTGTTGCTGAAAAATTGGAGGCCCTGGACTATTTTAAAAATTTTAAGCGTCGCCAGGGCAAACGAGCAATAAACAATTGATTTTTTTTCACTAATCATTCGTGTTTAGATATAGGGGAGAGTGGGGCAAAATCAAACAGTCAAAAAAACGACTGTTTGACGCAATTCAAGTAAAACTAATTTTAAAACTTACTAAATATTTTTTATTCTTGGGAGTACTGATAAGAATAATAATTTTCCATTCAGTAGAATGGAAAATTGTTGAGAAGTTTTGACGGGCGAAGATTTTGTCAATGGATTAATATAAAAGAAAGTGAAACAGCAAAATCCAAAGTGCAAGGCAAGGCCCAGGGGGAGATCCAGGGGGGAAAAGGGAAAATGTGATGTTGAATTTCAATCGAATAATCCATTGACAAAATCTTCGCCCATAAAAATTCCCCAATAATGCATTCCTCTCTACTGAATGGAAAATTATTATTCTCATTAATTCTCGCAAGAATAAAAAAAGTTGACAAAAAAAATCGACAAAAAAAATTTGTTTGCTTAAATTGCCTCAAACAGTCGTTTTTTTTACCATGTCATTTTGCCCCACGCTCCCCTATATAATCGATCTTCAATGTATGAGAAATTTCATTCGAATAGCCCGCAACTTTTAACACTCATAGTAGTCTCCTCTTGTAACAGCGACTTCAGGGACTATTCTGATGATCTGTGGGGAGTTGGCTGATACTCACATATTCGTTTTGGCAGGTCGAGATGGGATTTATCCCCAGCGAAGTAAAAAACTACACAGTTTTTAGGCTCCAACTTCGTCTGAGTGACGAAATAGTCGTAGAGTTTCTCCAGCTCCCACACGAGGTCTGGGGTGAGCTTGGAGTAGACGAATATTACACCTTGGGCGTCTTTTCTGAATGCTGACCAGCAACTTTCGAACCTGGAGAGATCAGTTCGTTTAATATTTTCTCGTAAGTCCATTTATTATCAAAATAATTCAGTAGTGAAGTGGTAAACCGGTATAAGTCGATTTTGACTATTGCCCAGTTTTCAATATCTCAAAATCTAAGGGAAATAGCAAAATTTTTGCCATAACCTTTTTTGTAGCTCTCAATTTGCTCTACAAAAAAGGAAATCACAACAATTTCGCTATTTCCCTTAGATTCCGAGATATTTATTGAAAACTAGCCAACAGTCAAAATCGACTTATACCGGTTTACCACTTCGTTACTGAATTCAAGAAAAGATTAGAAATTTACATGGGTGTAAAAAAACAGAGATTCTTTAAATAATTAAAGTTTGTTAAGGCCAATACACAATACAATAAAAAAAGTAGAAAAAAAACTGAACATTTTTAAAGAGCGTTTTTAATAAAGATTAAGAAATAAGTCTGATAGAGCGGAAATAGTGAATGGATAATTTATCATGGTAACTAATGATCTGAAAGGCATTGACTACTGTAACAAATGACGACCCAACAGCCATCAAATACATCAAATTATTAATTTCCAATTTCCTCCCTATTGGGTTTATTTTCCAATATTATTTAAAAACGCTCTTTGAAAATGTTCAACTTTTTTCACCGTTTTTGCTTTCGAATGGAAGCATTGTATTGGATCGATTTTTGGACTCGGTAATTTTGCTTGGAAACGATGCAGAATGGTCTGAAACGGAAAAATACGAAGTTTGAGGACCATGTCTGTGTGATCATGTCCAGTCGATGGTCACTTTTTCTTAAAATTGACGAATGAACGGGCAAAATCATCCCAAATAATTTGAAATTTTGTCAGTTTATTGGTATAATTTGGGACTAACTCTACGCCAAAGTTCAGCTGAATCCGTCCATTAGTTTTTGAGAAATAGCGGTTTGTTTTTTTACACTTTTTCCAAAATATCTTGGAAAATATCCAACCGATTTCAATATTTTTTTTCTTAATGTCTTAATGTCCTCTATCTTAATCTATCAAAATATATATACCCGGCCATACAATGTTTTCGAGATATATCGATTTTTATATTTTTACCTTGAAATCGTTGTTCGGTCTCTAGTAGACGCAAAAATCGGAATATCAACTTGTTTTGATTGTACAATTATAATTTTTGAAGACTCCATGACTATGCAAAACCGAATAGCAATTGGAGATCCTTTCAGATTATCCAATGAAAAAAAACAACCAAGATCACGTTCGAAAGATAATCCACTCGGACCTTAAATGCGTAATTATCTCGGTAATGACTTAGTTTAAGAGAAAATGTCAAAAAAACTTTTGTGTAGAGAATTAAATTTTCAACAGAAAATCATTTATCACATTTTCTCCTAAATCCGTCCGTTATTAAAATAATTCAACATTTAACAAAATTCTCAACAATCAAAAACGTCAAAAATTGTTTTACTTGCGATCTCCACTGCAGTCCCAGAGCTCGATATCCACTTTCGTCTGTTTATTCTTCGCATTGACATTTGAAACATCGAATTCAAGGATCCTAACACCCTGGGTGGGCCTGTACTCGAAGGGAATCTCAGTGGCATCAGCCAGGAAATTCGAAATCGTTGTTTTTCCACTCTATAAAATGATCTTGGCTTTTTAGATAAAAATTAATGTTCTGGGATCATTTCCACTGATTTACAAAAATATCTACCCCAGCTGGTCCGACGACAATCAGCTTGATGGGCTCCATTTTACAAGTTGCTATGGGAACAGGTCACAACAAACGAGAAGGCGTTTGAGGATCAAACGACGCTTAAGGGCATTTAGAGTTGAGGGTAAAATTATTTTGAGGGTCAAACGACCCTTGAGGACGTTTAAAGATGAGGATCAAATTATTGTGTCGAATGTCCCTCAAGAACGTTTAGAATTGAGGATAGGAAGAACCCTCAGGCTGTTTCGAGTGGATGATCAAACTATTTTGAGGGTTAAATGGCCCTTAGCAAGGTTTAGTAATGAATATCAAATTATTTTGAAGGTCAAACGACCCTCAAGGCATTTGAGTTGAGGATCAAGTCATTTTTAGAGTTAAAGTTTAGTTTTGAGCAGAATCAAATTGTTTTGAGGGTCAAACGACCCGCAAGAGTCTGGAGTTGAGGATCAAATGAGTTTCAAAGTAAAATAACCTTGAGTACGTTGAAGTTTGAGGATCAAACAATCGTCTAGAACGTTTGGAGTTGAATATTAGATCATTTTGAGGATCAAGCGACCCTTGATAACATTTAGAGTTGAGGATCAAATTATTTTGAGGGTCAAACGGCCCTTGAGAATGTCGTTCAGAATTGCAGATCAAAAAATTTTGAGGGTCAAACGACCCTTAGGACAGTTAAAATTGAGGATCAAATTATTTTAAGGGTCAAACGACCTGCGGGTGTTTGGAGTTGAGGATCAAATGGTTTTGAAGGTCAAATGACCTTGAGTATGTTGAAGTTTGAGGGTCAAATGACCCTTGAGAATATCTTTCTGAATTGAGAATCAAATTATTTTGAGTGTCAACTGGTTTGGAGGATCAAACGATTTTTAAGAATGTTCAGGCTTAAGTATCAAATTGTCTCAAGAGTCATTTGACCCTCAAGACCATTTAAGCCTCTTTTAAAACTAAAAAAACAAAACAGAAAAGACACGAGTTGTAGTTTCATGATTTTTATTTAATTCAGGCTTTTCGATACGACACTCATTACATATCAAGAAAATGGTCATTGAATTACGAATGAAGTTCATTAAACATGTTGAATTGCTTCGTATTCATCAGAAACGTCAGGATTAACATGAACTAAAGTCAGTAAATATAGGATTCATACTCGTTAATTATGAAAAAATCTGTGAAAAGTTGTTGATCTATTGCAGCGGCTGCTGCATTTGCTCGGAGACCTGCATTGGCTCCGCAGGTTCAGATTTGGCTTCCTCCGGGTACTCGAGTTTGTACAGAGCCTTGAGGGCTGCCTTAGCAGCAATTTTCTTAGCATCTCTCTTGTTCTTTGCTGTAAATCGAACAGAATAATTTTATACATTTCAACTGTTGAATTGTCAACAGATGATTTTGCGGAGAATTTAATGAGTCAAAGAGATCTTGACATTTCAAACATTCATCCCGTCCAGGCCATTATGCGATTAATTACAATTTCTAATTAGAAATTATGGCTCACTACATCAATAATTCTCTTTTTTTCTTTTCACATGAAGACAAAATGAACATTATTATTTAGCACAATTCAGAAGACTTTGATTTTTGTTGTTCTTAGTTGAGAGTCAAACATGTCTTGAAAACGTTTAGGATTGAGGGTCTAATGGTTTAAGACTTTAGAAAATTCCGTGTTGAGGGTCAAATGGTCTTGAAGTTTAAGAGACCCTTAAGAGCATTCGGTGTTCAGGGTCAAACATACTCTAAGAATGTTTACGATTGAGGATGTAACGATTTTGAAGGTCAAACGACCCTTAAGAACATTCGATTTTGAGGGTTAACCGAGTGTTACGAACGTTTGTACTTGAGGGTCAAATGCTCTTGAGTGTCAAATGATCCCTAAAAGCGTTTTGAGTTGGGGATCGAAGTATTTTAGGGTCGAACGACCCTTTATTTTGAGGGCCAAACGTCTCTTAAGAATGTTTAGAATAAATGATCCAAAGGTTTTAAGGGTTAAGCGTAACTTAAGAACATTCGGTGTGGAGGGTTAAATGAATTTGGAGGACAAACATACTTTAAGAATGTTTAGGATTGAGGATCGTATGATTTTGAGGGTTAAACGACCCTTAAGGATGTTTGGATTGAGGGTCAAATGGTTTAAGGCTTAAGAACGTTTGGAGATGAGGGTCAAAAGGTACGAAACAATCCTTAAAAATGTTTTGAGTTGAGGATAAAATTATTTTAACGTCAATCGACCCTCAAGGACGTTTAGAATTGAAAATCAAATTATTTTGAGGGTCAAACGAACCGTGAGGATATTGAGGATCAAATAGTTTTAGGGACGTCAGGGTCAAACAGCCCTTAAGGGCCGACCCTTAAGGACGTGAGGATCGTAACAGACCTTTAGGGTCGTTTGAGGGTCAAAGGAATCCTAAGGGACGTTTGACCCTTACGTTTTTAAGAGTCATTTGATCCGCACGACAATTGACCGTCATATAAAAACCAACAAAAAAACTTTCTCAAATTCTGCCAAATAATCGTTATTCCTGTAGTTCAGTCCCTCCCCATCAACAAAAATGACAACTCACCAGCTCCAGTGTAGATTTTCTCATCGATTTCAACCGAAAGTGTAAACAGAGTATTGGGTGGATTCCCAGACCTGCTGACTTCGACATAAGTGATCCCCGGTTTCATCTGATTGAGCAGCATGACTGGATGAACAGAGAGTGCATTCTCAGGTAGAACCTTCTCAGTTGATGGTTTCGATTCAGTTTTGGCTTTTGGTGGTGTCTGAGTGCCGGGTCGTGGAATGGGCACGACGGTTCCCTGATTCTGCCACTCCAGGAATAGTTTGTAAAGTGCAAAACTGGCCAATGAGCTCCAGGGTATCTCGTCAGTGTCATCGACATTCATTGGAGTTCCAGCTGCTGCGTCTGGATTCGCAGAGTCTCCTGTAGCTGCTGCAACTGGAGCTGCAGCACCATCGTCTTTGGAAGCTTCAGTGGTATCTGGTGCTCCCTGGGGATCGTTCTCAGCGTCGGTGCGTGCTTTGTTGGCAGCTGCTGTCATCTTCTCGAGGAGAAGACACTTGAGAGCATTCTCAGCTGCATTTTGACGGGCCAAGGGCTTGGAGAGACCTTGACCAACGTAGGTCTTTCCATCCAACTGTGGAGAGATGATAAAAATATCGTGAGGAGAAGGGCTTATGTCATGGCGAGGAAAAATAATTTGATTGCAATATTATCTCGATAATTAGTCATTTTAAGGCCCGGGTGGATTATCTTTTGAAGGTGATCTTGGTTTTTTTTAAATTTTAATAATCTGAAATGGTCTCCAATTGCTATTCAGTTTTACATAGCCCTGAAGTCTCCAAAAATTATGATTGTACAATGAAAACAACATTGAAAAAAAGCTGAACATTTTCAAAGAGCGTTTTTAAATAATATTGGGGAAATAAACCCAATAGGGAGGAAATTGCAAATTAATAATTTGATGCATCTAATGGCTGTTAATTCGTCATTTGTCACAGTAGTCAATGGCTGTCAGATCGTTAGTTACCATGATAAATTATCCATTCACTATTTCTTCTCTATCCGACTTATTTGTTAATCTTTATTAAAAACGCTCTTTGAAAATATTCATTTTTTTTTCTACTTCACAAAAATTTGACTACCTCTCATAGATTCGAAGACATTTGTGAAAAATAACTAAAATATATCAAATCTATATTTATAAAATGTAAAATAACTGAATTTGTTCGATGAAATATCTCAATAAGTGGATTTATAAGAAAATATAAAAAAAAAATTTTTCGAGAGAATTTCTTCAGTCACAAAAAAGCTCTCTTGACATTGTCCCCTGCACCCAGTCGTTATTAAGATACCTGGCGTCAAGACTTTACTAAAAAATTATAAATTTCATATAAAAATTTTGGCTTCAATACTCTACCTCAGCATGAACGAGGAAAAGAGAGTTTGGAACTGATTGAGTCTCTGGGAAGGTGAACTGTACACCAGCCTTCATCTCGTTTAGAACCATTATTGCATTCTTGGGCATAAGAGTCTTCCTCAGACGCTGGTTCATCCTCAGACGTCTCAATTTTCTATTGACCTTGGCTGAAAATCAATTGCCACATGACAAATTATTCGAAACTCTTCATCATTCTGAATGATGAGTCAAAGAATGAGTATCAGAAATTCTGTTCACAGTGACTTTCCACTCGGTCCAATGACCTCAACAGGTCGTCAACGATCTGGAGATCAATGGAGGGTGGGAGAATCTTCAAATTTGCGCAGTGAATTGTCATCAGGTCGAAGTTGAAAAGAATTCAATAAACCACAGAAATTTAAATAACATTCTGCGAAAAAACTTTTTTAAACATTCTTTTTTTAACATTTTTATAAATGAATCAAGAAATGTTTATGTATCCAGAAATGTCTTTTTTGCATGAAATTGATTTTTTAAATCATGTTCAAAATGGAAAATTAATTGTTTCTAGAATTATTTAATAAAAAAGGTCATAATTGGAAAAAATTCCAATTATTCAATTAGAATTATAATTACAATGAAAATTAGGAGAAAAATAATCCACTGGAAAATACAGAAAAAAATCCTTAAGGATGTTTGGAGTTGGGGCCTCAAGAGGTTGTGGGTCAAACGATCGTTAACGACCATTGAACTTGAGCATCAAATTTTGTCGAGGGTTAAATGACCCTCAACGACATTTGAAATTGAGGGTCAAATAATTTTGAGGATTTAGCAACCTTTAAATACGTTTGGAGTGAGGATTTAAATACGTTTAAGGGTCAAACGCCCTTTAAAGACATATGGAATCGAGGGTTTTGAGGGTCAAATGACCCTTAAGGATGTTTGGTGTTGAGGATTCAAGAGTTCTTGAGCGTCAAATGACTCTCAAAGACGTTTGGAGTTGGGGGTCAAATGGCCCTTAAACACATTTGGAGTTGAGGGTCAAATGACCTTTGAGGACCCTTAAGAATATTTCCAAAAAAAGTACTTTCAGAGGCGAACGAGCAAGACAAAGGTAAAAACGAAAGAACAGAGTGAAAATGTTGATCGAAGAAAAGATCCAAAAGCTAAGCCTTCACCTCCAAACCTCTTCCCCGATTTCCTGATTACTCACTTCCTTGAAGCTTCGAGCGCCTCCACTTAGGCTGATCACTAGTCTCGGAGAAGCCATCCCCCTCAGGCATGACATCCTCGTAATCCATGGAACTCTCCTGATTTTGTCCAGTGGCGGCAGCTCCGGCAGCCCCCACACTCCCCTGCGCATTATTCTGATTGGCATTGGGCCCTGGAGTCTTCGGCATGGCGATATTCAGCCCTGGAATCTTCTTCTCAGGAGTCTGCTGCGGCTGCTGCTGTTGTTGCTGCTGCTGTTGTTGTTGTTGTTGCTGCTGCTGCTGTCCAAACTGCTTCTGCTGACCTTGCTGGGGTGTATGCTGCATCTGCTGGCCTTGCTGGGGTGTATGCTGCATCTGCTGGCCTTGCTGGGGTGTATGCTGCATCTGTTGGCCTTGCTGGGGTGTATGCTGCATCTGCTGGCCTTGGAAGGGCTTCTGCGGGGTCTGCTGCTGCAGGCCCTGGAACTTCATCTGCTGCTGCTGGGGTGTTCCCATCTTAGCCTGTCCCTGCCCTGGAGTCTGCATCTGGCCCTGAGGCTGAGACTGCTTCTGCGGTGTTCCTGCTTGCTGATACTGAAATAAAGAGCGGGTGGGTTCGTTCTGCTACACAAGGAACCTCTACGGTTGTACTGTCCCACCAGGGCCCAGGGCGTCTTTAGGGTCATTTACTTGAGGGCAACATACGTCTCAACCACTACCATAGGTCATAACACGTTCATCACGATTTCATCATTCATTTTATTTTTAAGAATGAAAGAATGACGAACTGAAAATGATTAATTTCTCTTGATATTTCGGGTGAATCTTGAATGTGAAAAATGAAATACAGACATGTTTTCGTGGGACTAATGTCAAAATAGAAATTTAGATATTTCAGGGAACATTCTTCATTAAAATCAGCAAATGCCGAACTATCGTCTGTATTTCACTGGTTCATTTGGAATTTTTATTCAAGATTTCATCACGAAATTGTTGAGAAACCAAACGTTTTTTGATTCTTGTGAATAAGACGAACCTCAGCATCAATTGAGGCTCGAGACAACAGTTACGATGTTATGCTAGGTGAGGTAAGACAACGAACTTGCCCCTGGTGACATGTACCTCCTCGGTATTGTTGTATAGCTACTTGTTGCTGCCTGCTTTGTGTGACAAGCAGGAGTGGGGAGGATCGAAGTACATGAATTAGTACATGCATTGAGATGCAATCAATCAAAAACAATGTTTGATTTTTTTATCCCAGGTTATAGGCGACTGACTGGGTGGTGAGAGTAGGAAGTGATGGAAGTTGTGGGGGACGTTCGGGGGGAAGTGGAGATATTTGATGAGATGATTTCGTTTTGAAGTTTTTCCATTTTTGGCATTGTTTTTCAATTCGGGTAACTTTGTGTTGTCTCCTACAATTATTCATTTTTATCTGTGAAACTACTTTATCGACTCTATTATTGCATTATTGAGTCAATTAAACTATCTTATCGAGTCGATTATTGCACTATTGAGTCAATGAAGTAGTTTTCATAAATAAAAAATAATAATTACATGAGAAAACACAATTCTAAAAGTCACTACAGACGCAGGGGTTCCGTTTCACCTTGAGAGACAGATGATCTTGAGGGCCAGACGACCCTTAAAGACGTTTGGAGTGAGGATCAAATTGTTTTCAGTATGTTTGTTTTCAGTCGTTTGACCCTCAAGACTTTATGAAGCCATTCATATAATCAAGAAAAAATCCCCAACGAAAATCATCTCATCTCATCTCATCTTACCCCCATCTTCCGAACCCTGCAAATATTAAAAAAGTCTATCCTCGACTTACAGATTGAGCATTCCCCGTCTGGTACCCGGGGTTGGCGTTCATAGTCGGTCCTCGAACTGTAAAAAACAGTGAAGAAAATAGTAAATTGACCTCCTCACACATCAATACATGAAGATTGGCATAGTGAAATTCCTCATTTTTTTTAGAGTTCAAAATGAGATATCATTCATCCCAACGGCATTATTTGATTAGGAAATTATTATGGGTTTGAGGGACTCCATTTGCCTCATCTTCCCCTAAGTCGAGCGTCTAGCTCGGCATCCGCCATTTTATGATGCCGGTGAAATTATTGATTATTCGCTCGCTCCGAGGAAATGCATTCAATTCCCCAATCCCCCGAACTAATTGCATTGCAGTCCCAATGTAATTAATTTGTTTGGTCAACATAATCGACGAATCGATCGAGAAAAATTAACACAGCAATAAATAAATGAGTAATTACCGAACGATGTATTCTGTTGGGTTTGGTTTGATCCTCGGCTCCTGGTGTACATAGCGAATTTCTCTATTAATTCACTCGGTGCACTGTTAGTTAGTGGAGATAATCAACGCTGATCAACTAACGTTGCCTGATAATTCACGGTAAAATGTTGATAGGAATGGAGACGAGTGTTGGCGTCGACTTTTGGCGTCTCGAGACGAGTGACGAGGGACGAGTGAGTGGGCGATCGAGTATCGGAGAGAAACCGGAAATGACGCTCCCAACATTCCAAAATGGCGGATGCCAGTGGCTGGTGCGCAGTAGCCGAATGCGATCATGCGTCTGGGATAGAGAAATGCAAAATGACCGTCATTTTTTGGTCATATGACGCGATCTAAAAAATGACGGTCTTGTAACGGGCATGTGACGCACAAATTTTCCAACTACAAATGATTGTCACAAATCATTTGTAACCAAATTGTTGTCAAACCATCTATATAGTTGCATAATGACGGTCATAACTAATTTCCAATTTGTGACGGTCATGAATAAAACAATAAATAGTTTCATCGATATGGATGGAAAAAAACGTGATTTCCATTTCAAAATGCGGATTAGGGCAATACAAAAGGAATTCAACTGAAAATTGACCGAGAAAAAAATAAAGTTTCAGCTATATAGATGAAAAATGACTGTCATTTTTTCCTTGACAAGTTGTGACGGTCACGAAGGGGGAGGGTGATAGCCGTCATGAACGCCTGGTCATGTGACCGTCATTGACAAGGCTGTCCCCATTCCCCTTCCCCTCCTCTATGGCCGACGCAATTTATCAAAAAAATATGACAATCATTTTTCATCAATTTCATTCCTTCATCAATTTTTATTTGAATTTATTTCGTATCAGCCCCTAATGTGCATTTTGAAACGAAAATTACGTCTTTTTCATTTGTATCGAGATCATGGTATGGAGATGCAACTCCCTTTTTGGCTTCCGAATAGAAGCATTGTAATCGTTCAAATTTAAGTTTTGGATGTTTTGGGTCATACCGACTCATCCCAGAAAACAATTTTTTCATCACGCTGTGACGAAAAGTTCACTTTTCGTCACAGCGTGATGAAAAAATGTTTTTTAGCTCGTGGGATTATATAACCTCCCACTCGCCAAAAAACACTTTTTTGCACTCGTTACGAAATATACTATTGCCAGTGCCATCTAAAATTTAAAAGCACATCGGCAATTTGGCGACAAATTGGCGACATACTGTTTACTGTGATTATGATCCAAAAAGTCCGAAATTGCAATTTTCATCCCGCTCTGCGAAAAGTATTTTTTCATCACGCTGTGACGAAAAGTGAACTTTTCGGCACGCTCCGCGTGCCTAAAAGTCCAATTTCCGCCACATTGTGATGAAAAATATTGTTCGTAACTCGTGAAAAAATGTTTTTTGCACTCGTTACGAAATATATTATAGTTCATGTCACGGGACCTGAAATAGTATATTGTGCATCAAGGGTGGAAAGTCATGTTTTCCCGCCCGAGGTGCACATGCTATTTTTTTTAACACGCCTGCAAAGGAAAGTTCGTATTTTCCTCCCGCTCATCAGGGAGCAAAGTACGAACTTTCCGTGCAGGTGTGTGAAAAAATTACTTTTTTACATGTAGTAAACTTGGTAGAATACCGGTGGTATTTTACTTGCCCAACCCTGCTCGTGAGGCTATATCACTCGCTTTCGGCTCGTGCGTGAGATATATTTGTTGAAAAAGGTCGTTTGTGTCAAAAAAATTGCCCTCAAAAGAGGGGTCAAAATGATTCTGCAGAGCCGAAATCGTCCAGATTTCATATTCCCTAGAGTAGGTTTATACGACCTTTTTCCCCTTCGTTGACCTGAAAATTCCAAAATGGTGAATACGACCTTTTTCCATTTAGCACGTGACATTGACGTGACGTGACGTGATTTCAAAGCTCAAGCAACCCTCAAAAACGTTCTAGTCTAGTCTAGGATTATAATGGTCGATGTTGGTCTTAAGGGTTTAACGGATATCGATATTGAAAACATCGATATAAAAATATCGTTCCAACCCCTATAAAAAAAGTCATGTTTAAAAATTTCACAAAATGAATCGAAAAAAAAACTTCTGAAACGTAAATTGTGATCAATCAAATATCGATATTGGGGGTGAAATATCGATTCCTCCAATAGATCAATCCGAAACAATCGAGAAAAAAATGGAGTATCGGACCATGAAATATCGATAGTTGCAATAATCGAATCAAATTGATCTCCCTAATATGCGTCATATGCGTCACACATCAGGGTGGAGGGACCGGAGAAAAATACCGATATCTCGTCAACCAACGATCCGATTTGGACGAGTCAGGGCTCATTTTGAAGGCCAATATTTTATCTTGAGAATAAAGAAAAAAATGTTCATTTTCACTCAGCGGATGCCCAGATATTAAAGATTGAAGCTGGGTGTGTCCGGGGAGGGGGTTTAAAGGGGAAAAAATCTGACAAGTGAGAAGAGGTTATGGCTCTCGGGATTCTGACGAAAACAGGACATCAATTGTCAGGAGAAACAAATGTATGTTATTAGAGGAATGATTGTTGGGCATTAGGGGATAATGTGGACGATTAAGACACCGTCGTTGCGGATTGACGTTGCGGATTTGAAGTGCAAGAATGGGTGTGGGTTTTTTGGAAATGATGAGTGGGAAGGATACTGCAGCAAGTGTCATCGGGAGTATCTGCAGAGGAAGAGGGCGAAGAGGGAGAGACAGACAAGGGCACAGAATCACGAGGGGTGAGAATTTTTTTCGAAATTTCTTGGGGATTGGGGGATTTTTTAATGATTTGTTGAAATGTCATTTGTTGAATGTCACTGGGGCAAAATGTCATTGAGTGACTTTTGTTTTGTTAAATGTTGAATTATGCCGTTAAGATATTTTTCCCACCCGGAAGTTCATTACCAATGAAATTGGTAGAGAGAGAACGAGTCCAAAAGACTAATAAAAAATAAAATAACGGTCTGTCGCTTCTGTAAAATAGGCTCGCAACCCTGCTTGTTTAAATGTTGAATTATCTCGTTAATGAGTGAGTCTAGGAGAAAATGTCATAGAACATTTTTTCCAGAGAATTTCATGAGCTACAAAAAAGGTCTGATGTCCTTTCGCGGCTAGATCCACTCAGTCCCATGAAAATTGCACGATTAACAAAAAAGGCGAATGCATTTCCCCATGTTTTTCTCCATAACTCCAAATAAATCCGTAGTTGATCTAAAAAATATTCCTCAAGTAAGTTTTATGGATAGACCCCCCTGTTAATTTCCTCATCACCCCTCCAGGGATGCAGTAAGACAAACGACACCGCCAGGCATAAGCAAAGTAGAAGAGAAGAAGCGGCAACAAGAGAAGAAGAACAAGCTCCTGAACATCTCTGCCTTCTGGAAACTTCCCTCGAAGCCCCAGGGTTACGACGACCTCCTGAAGGAGCTCATCCACAACAACGAGGACTTGGACAAGGTCAAATCAGAGAATCTGGACCTGATGCAGCTCATCAGCAAGACCCCAGCTGAGAAAGACGTGAAGAGATGCATTCATACTCTAGTTTCCAATATTCTTCAGAACAGAAATGCCAAGAGGATCGAGGAATTGTCGGAGATCACCCAAAATTTCTATCAGGTTTTTGGCAAGAGGATGGAGAATAGCCCTAATTATGCTGGGATATCTCCAGAGGTAGATAAATATGTTAATGTATGGATTAGTTGGCAAATTGATTGATCAATCAATTAATTAATGAACTAATTGATCAATTCGCCAGTCAATTGATTGATTAATTAGAAGTCGCTTGATTTGTTTTTTTAAACTTAGGTGGATTATCCTTTGAACGTGATCTTGATCGTTTTTTTTATTTTGATAATCTGAAATGATCTCCAATTGCTATTTAGTTTTACATAGCCCTGGAATCTCCAAAAGTTATAATTGTACAATCGAAAAAACGTTGAAAAAAAGCTGATCATTTTCAAAGAGCGTTTTTAAAGAATATTGGGAAGTAAACCCAATAGGGAGAAAATTGCAAATTAATAATTTGATGTGTCTAATGGCTGTTGGGTCGTCACTTGCCACAGTAGTCCATGGCTTTCAGATCGTTAGTTACCATGATAAATCAGCCATTCACTATTTTCTCTCTATCGGACTTATTTCTTAATCTTTATTAAAAACGCTCTTTAAAATGTTCAGTTTTTTTTCTACTTTTTTTCAACTTGACTTTACATACATCAAAAACATCATCAAGTGATTATTATTGGATTAAAATCCAATAATAATTAATATAATTATGAATAACATAATTAATTAAATGATCTCCATGAATGTTCAATTGAATTTTATTCATCAAAGACTTGGTCTAATTGTTGAATGTAAATCCAATAATCATCACTCCACCAACTCAAGCTTCAATTACTGAATAAACGGATTAATTAACCAATTACTTGATCGATCAACGAATTAATTAACCTCCAGGGATGTCTAATAGTCTCTGACAACAAATAATTGATGAATCTATGAGAGGAGTCAATTTGATTTTACTCATCAAAGCATTCTATCAATTAAAAATTCACTGAATGAATTAAGGAATCAGTGAATAAATCAATAAACATTAAATAATAAACTAATGAATTAACTAATTACATAATCAAGTGATCTTCGAGAATATGTGTTAGGGACTCCTGCGCGATGTAAAATCCAATAGAAATTGTGATATATTTTACATTATGAGGATAGAAAAACAATCGAGATAACGCTCGAAAGATAATCCATTCGGGAGTTAAGCTTTAGCTCAATGAATTAAGCAATTAATTAGGTCATTAATTCATCAATTGACTGATTAATTAAAGATTTACGAGGGCTCTCTGATGTGAAGATAATGAATGAACCCTAAAAACAATTATTTACCAACTTAGTAAAAAGGAAGTCCATTCAAATTAATAAATCCATTCTGTCAAATCCGACAATCATCATCCCTTTATTTCAAGGTGAAGGAGAGACTCCTGGACTACGTGGAGAGACACTCAATGACCCTCCTCTACCGCGTCCTCTTCTGTCCCCCGTTTACAATCGACGAGGAGAAAGACCTGGCCATCCAGAACAGAATTCGCCAGTTGAACTGGGTCAGTGGGAAAAACCTCGAGTGCAGGATTCACGAGACAAGCCCAGAGGTGCGAGAGCTCGTCTACACCTCGATCACAGACCTCTTGAATATGGACTCAGCAAAGGCACCCCAGGAGAAGCTGACGTGTGTCGTCAACTGCTGCAGGAACATCTTCCAGTTGCTCCAGCAGTCTGTGGGTGGTCCAGCCTCTGCTGACGAGTTTCTTCCAGCCCTCATCTTCATTGTCCTGAAGGCCAATCCAGCAAGACTCAAGAGCAACATCAACTTCATCACCAGATTCTGCAATGCCAGCAGACTGATGACAGGGGAGGGAGGTTATTACTTCACGAATTTGTGCTGTGCTGTTTCCTTCATTGAAAATTTAACTGCTGAGAGTCTTAATATGTCTGAGAAGGACTTCAATGCTTACATGTCTGGGGAGAGGGTGCCAGCGAACACTTGGGAGTCAGCACTGACCATTTGTGAGAGCCTTCACATGATGTGTGAGGACATCACTTTGTTGGATGAACTGAAGGCCAGGAATGATGAGGTAGTGGCTGAGGCTGTTAAGCTGCAGGAGGAGATTGTCGAGTTTCATAAGAAGATCAGGGAGGAGGTGGAGGCTGGGCTTGAGAAGTCACCGTTGATCATCTCTAGGAGCCAGAGGGTGCCCACTAACATTGATTGCGATGATGTGGAGGTTTACAAACTCCCTCCGCCGATTATTCCTCAGGTATTTTGGGATTTTGGAGGTGAGGGTGTGGGGAAATGGGAGGGGGGGGGGGATTTTTTTTGGGAGCTCATGGAGTTGTTCATGAGGTTTCATGCCGGGGATGAGGGTTAACTCGTTTTGATATTTTTTGTATTAGGCCCTTGAAACCATTTCACCGTTGATCCTAAACGTTCTTAAAGGGCAGTTTGACCCTCCAAATTATTTGACCCTCATTAAGAATCAGACAATTAACACCATTTGAACCTTGTTTATAAAAGTTCATAAACATTTGGAGTTAAGGACCTTTAGAAATGGTTTTGAAGGTCAAACCATTTTTTTTCGTTATTTAACCCTAGATTGGTCATCCTATGAGGGAAACCCCGCCGCGCGTCGTTTTTCTTTAATCACAATTGACTGGCTAACCGGAAAAATTGAAAAAAAATTGACTTCGTCAATTGAAGTGTCTAAAAAATTATAGTAGTTTTTAGAACAACATATTTCCTAAAATTCCTAAAGAAAACAAATTATTTCGGACAGATGAATTATTTTTTCCCATGTTAAGGTACTTCCTCAGTGAGTTATAGTTGGTGAAAATTTCGCAATGAACTGAAGACCTAAAATTTGGATCATACGTTGTTAAGGATATGTAAAAACGACAATTCGGCAACGCTAAAGGCTAAATAACGCGGTGGAGAATTCCCGCGGAGATGACCAAGTCGCAGGGTCGCGTTTGGTGATCAGACTAGGATTAAAAAATTGTTACATCATATTCACCAAACGATTTATTTTTCCTCAGCTCTACTCCCATCACGTCGGAATGGACGAGGCAGACAGCCACATGAACGCCTCGTACACTAAAAATTCATCGATCGACGACTGCATCACACCATCGCCCACATTCGATTTCCCTCCATTCGTCGACTGCTGTTTAGACACGAGCAAACCCGACGACGACACGAGTTTGATCAGTCTCGATGCTCAGTGTGAATTCTCCAGCGTTGATATGGACCCCATGGAGAAGGCAACACCTGACAGTCTTCTGGATAATTCCCACGGATCAACGTCCAATCTTCCGTCTCCACTGACCCCAGCTGGACTCATCACCGAGGATTACCATGGATTCACTCTTCAGGGATCCACTATTCCCACTATTCCCTGCAACACTGGCGACTTGTCTCTCACATCGAACGGCCATGATAATGATAATTACTCCAATTACTTCAAGAATATTTAAGGTTGACAGGAGGAAAGTGGTAAATCGTGGAAAAATCGTCAATCGTTCGATTTTTCAAAGGTTTTCAGTTTCATGTGGAATTATGAGGGGTGGGTACACGACGAATTGTTGATTAACTCTTTTTCGAGGGAATTTAATTCTTCAGAAAAAAAGTTTATTGATATTTTTGCAGGAAATGAATGGTTGAGGAGATACATCGGTAATTTTTCATAGAAATTTTGTTTTTTTCCTCCTTGTTAAACAGGTAATTATCTTGATAATGATCAATTTTAATAGACATTTTTGTTGGATTCTCTACAAAATTCTCTACAAAAAAGATATTTTGACATTTTTACATGAAATCAAGGGTTGAGAAGATAAATGGATAATTGTGCAAGATGTTAATAATTTTTCATAGCAATTTTCTTTTTGACTCATTGTTAAAGAGGCTATTATCTCAAAAATGATCAATTTTAGGAGAAAATGTTGGAAGATATTGTTTGTTGAAAATTTAATACTCTATAATAAATGTTTTATGACATTTTTTCCTACAATGCATCATCCTCGAGATAATTTCATTTTTAAGGAAATATAAAAAATTTGAAATAGAAGGAATTAATTTTTCAGATCTTGTTAATTATATAATTATCTTGTTGATGGATGGTTTCAGAGGAAAATGTCAAGAGAAGTTTTTCTCTTAGAGTGACTTATTCTTGAGATAACGGCATAAGTACCAAAAATGTCAAATTACCACTTTGCTACTGAGGTAAGATAATAGGAGGTGAAAGACTAGCACAAGGGCTATTGCGAAAAAACTTGCTAACTTGTGAGTGATTGTTACTATTTAATTATGTATTAATTCTTATAAAGAGGATAATTAGGTCATAGGATTGTCTAATAAAAGAGGTATTTAAAGAATTTATTCATGTTGCTAGTGATTTTGTAATTGAATGCTTGAAAGAAATTTAATTCCATTTATTAAACTGATGAATTGGCCATCAATATTATTCTTCTAAGATTCCTTTCTGAAATAACTCTACGATTATTTCGTCCCTCAGACGAAGTTAGAGTTCGAAAATTGGGTGGTTTTTTACTCCACTGGGGATAAATTCCGTCTCGACTCACCAAAACCAATATGTGAGTATCAGCCAACCCCCCCCTCCCCCCAGATCATCAGAATAGTCCCTGAACTTGTTGTTAATTAATTTCAGCTCCAGCATTCGCAAACATATCTCAAGTAAACTGTAACGTCATGTTACTGAAACTGACCCCATCTTATAGATATTTGACGCTGATTTAAAATTTCCTTTGAGAAATCTTTCTAGCACATCTAGTTTTCGAGAAAAAAAATGTTAGTGTTGAAAAATGGCTTAAATGAAAAATTTGAAAAAATGAAAAGAGAGAAAATGAATTTGGACGTATTTTTACCCAGAAAAAAAACACGGATTAATGAAAGTATGATTTATTCAGTGGATTTTATTTCATCCCAATTGGTTGTAAAAAGTGTCGCGCACATCTGGTTAGTTTTTGAAGCGCACGATGGGTATAATTTACTAGAATTGGGTGAATAAAAATTATTCTATGAATTTTATAATAATTACCAGGATAACTATGATTTTTATCATTCACATAGATATTATTTGTCTTTGTCTATATACATTTTGACAAATTTTGGTTCCTTCGGCGAAAATTACCATACGGAAGGGTAAAATTTATTTTACATATGATAAATTTTATTATTTAACATCAATTTTTGTCGAACTTCCGGATATAAATCAGACGAAAAATGTCAATAATACACGTTTATCCTTCTGGAAGGGTAATTTTTACCAAAAATTTTTCTCCGTGTATGTACTATACCGACGCTTTTTTACCGATAACAAGTGCCATGGACCGTGGACGCGTGTGCCATCTCAAAAGTCACTAGGCAAATCGAATGAAAAGGCACCCTGAGGCTTTCAAAATTCAAATAATGCGAAAACCTCGTTTTCATGAGCAGTGTGTTGACATTAACCTAAAAAATAATGTTTCAACTGCTCCAACTGCAATGACAGGATGGCAAATATCAATACAATTACGAGTCTTCATGTACAAAAACTAGGTGGGCATCAATCAATTGACTTTTAAACCATATTAGAATGCATCAAAGATTGAAGAACAATAAATAAGTGGAGTTATCCCAATCACTGCGAAATATTTAGGGGTGTGAGTGTTGTTAGAAAGCCCGGGAAACTCCTTCCGTCAGGTGGTTGACCCATTCTGCCCCTACCTTATTCATATCTACATAGAAAATTCCGTAAATTGTAAAAAAGATGAGATTGCAATGTGAGAAAAAAGACATTAAATTGAAATATTGAATCTTTATTCCTTCGAAAGGTCTAAATTTTTCAATTAATTCATTTTCAATTGATTAATTCATCAATTAATTATTTCGATATTGTTTATTGCAGGACATAAAATCGAGGAGATTCGCTGCAGAGCCCTCGAGAACATAATATCAAAGTTGGAGCATGGATTCACCTGCAACTGTGAAGGAGTCAAGAGAGAACTTCTTTCAAAACTCTTCAATTGGTTCTCTTTTGAGACATTTCCTAATCCTGGGAAAGTTCTGGACCTGATTCATTACTTGATTTCGGTGAGTGAATCAAAGAATTTTGAATTGATTAATAATTAAAAAATTTCCACATCAAACTTTGAATCCCATGTCTATGAAAGGAGAGCAAGGAAAATTGATCTTGTTGGATATTGAATATCTCCTGAATTAACGAAGGGATTTCGGTGAGTCCGATCTCATTTTCATGCACGAAAAAATATCTTCAAAATGAGATGAGATTTATTGAATTTCACTCTGCCAATCCCGAGATATACCATGTTGAAGACAAAATGAGTTAATAATGTGTGAAATTTGCAATTTTTTAAAATTGTTGTATTGTTAATTTTGGACAAAATGTCAGAAGAACTTTTTTTTCTAAAGAATCAAATTCCTACAAAAAAGGTATTATGCTATTTTCTCTGAAACTTGTTCACTCATCACAATTCAAGAAACTTTTTTTAATTTTTATTTGATGGTCAAATGAGCTTTAAAGACATTTCGGGTTAAGGGTCAAACAACCCGTAAAAACATTTAGAGTTAAGGGTGAAAGAGATTTGTTGGATCCTTGACACAACGCTCGTTCAAGGATCGTTCCCCCTTTATTTGACTCTTAACACCTTTTTGTCTGTTTGACCCTTAACCCTCGTTTTCAACGTTCGACCTTTATTACCATTTGACCCTCATACTCGAAAGTAGTTTAATTGTCTTTTGGCTCTCAAGACCATGCGACAGAATTCAGAAATATTTTTTGTTTTGAATTAAAGGTCAAATAACAATTTTGAGGGTCAAACGCCTCTTAAAGACGTTTGCAGTTGAGCTTTCAATGGTCTTGAGGGTCATTTGACCCGTCATTATATCCATGTTCAAGGGTCCTTCGCCTTTCAAAATCATTTGACCCTCGATTTAACGGTCTTTGAGGGTTGCCCGTCCCTTACGACCATTTAACCTTCACCTCGAACGTCAGTAAGGGCCGTTTGAGCCTCACGTGACTACACAATCCAGGAACCTTTTTTTGTTTCTTTCTAGTTGAGGGTCAAATGACAATTAACCCCTTACGTACGGGGTCGATGCGTGGTATCGACCCATGCGAATGGGAACGCTTGTTTTCAAAATTGATTATTTCCAAATCTAGGAAGAATAACTTGATCAGACGAACAACATAAGAAACCGCAATACTGTAGCATCAATCAGATACCGGTTTCATAATTTTTCATTCATTAGAAATAATCGAATTCGAGTCGTATTGAGCGCACACTACGCTTGGTAACAGAAGAGCCCCGTCCATGGGGGGTTAAAAAAGTTTGGAGTCGAGGGTCAAGTGATTTTGGGGGTCAAACAATCGTTGAGAGTTGAAGGTTAAATGGCCTTGAGGATCAAACGATCCTCAAGAGCATTGGCAGTATATGATCAAATGGTTTCAAGGGTCAAACGAGCAATAGCAGTGGCGTCAGAAAGTTTCATTTGGCCCTTCTTCTCCGTAATACACGTCTTCAAGGTTCGTTTGACCCCCAAGCCAATTTCACGTATGACAAAATCGTATAGAAATTTTCTATACGGATCGCGTATAGAGTTTGCTGGATTTTCGTATATGATATTCGGATATTTCTATACGAAACAATATAAATTATTTTTATACGATTTCTATAGGTTTGATCCTATACGACCCACTGCCACGTGTATAGAAACATTTCGTATGGAGTTGCGACATTTCTCTACGTTTTTCTCTGGAGTGTTCAGACATCGTTCGTATGAAAACAAAAATTTATGTAAAAATTTATGTGTAGAAATAATTCGTATAGAAATATCCGAATATCATATACGGAAATCATAGAATTCCTATACGCGATCCATATAGAAAATTTCTATATGATTTTTTCATACGTGTTGACCCTCAACTTCAAACTCCATCAAGGGTGTTTTGATCCTTGCGACTATTCAACCCCTACTAAAAACCAAAAAAATGTTTCCTGAATTGTCCCTCCCCTCTCGCGTTGATGAAAACTCCCAAACAAACACCCCGCAATGGCCTTACCCGGAAAAATCTTCCAGCAAAACAAAGTGATCCCCTTCGAGGACCCCCGCACGAGGGCCGACCTCCACCAGCTCCGAGTTCGCCTCTCCCCCTCATGGCACCAGAAACTCGACCAAATCGAGGAATCCCTCGCCCACCTGCTCCCACCCTCCAACTCCCCCTCTCCCCCCCAGCGCCGTCCCCCCTCCCCCCAGACCTCAACCCTTCTAGATGCGACGCTTCCCTCCCCCTTAAACACTCCGGTCTCAAAAAGAACCGAAAACTCGATTCGCTGGCTGGTGATGCCCTGGCAGCCGCTGGTGTCCTCCGACAGAGGAGTCCTCTCCGCAGTCGAGGAAGCCCTCACCAATAAGACAGACCCCAGCCTGATAACCCACACCTGCCAGCTGATCACCAACGTAATGCTCCAAGACTTCCCCGCGGAGGTCTTCCTCCAGCGCCCCTCCATCATCTCAATCTTCCAGAATTTTCTGAAGACCTCAGATGATCCTAAGGTCATTAGAACCATTCTGAAGGTCCTTCACAAGCTCACAAGATCCCTTCGCTTCAGGATCTACTACTACTGCGACCCCTGCATCGCGAACAAACGCCAGAGAGTCCTGAAGGATCAGTCAATCTCGTCCTCCGGGCACTCCAGCCAGGAAGACCTCGATATCGACGAGTCTGTCCTGCAACTCCAGCAGGTGCTGCTTCCAAACTATTGCATCGAGACCCTCACAAATTCTCTGAGGTTAGTGAATTCTCAGGTGGAGGGTCGACCCTTGGAGACCATAAAATCGATGATGGATGTGTCCTCTGAACTCGTGGACCTCCTGAAGATGTGTTTGATGCCCTCGATATGGCTCTGCGCAGACGGTCTCTCCTTGAAGATCCATGAGGATCTGAAGACCCTGATGAAACTCCTGGGAGATGTCCTGGAGTTCCTCAGGAGCTACAGCACGATCGATCACTGGAGGATCACTTATTTACAGCTCCTCTCCATCACCATGAAGTTGTTGTCCTCCCTGGTTCCTCTAGAAGTATCAGATTACGTCCTTCCAGGGGGGCTGAAGATGTCTTTAGCTGTTGCTCTCATGGACGCCCCTATATACCTTATCCATCCAGGACTACACTCGACCCTTCAGGAATATGCGAGACAATTCCGAGGGGTCGACGAAATCGAGTGCCTCCGGATGTTCGAGGAGACGAGGGCCATCACGAGATCTTTAAAAGCTGCTGTTTCTCTTTTAAGATCTCGTGAGGATGAGGACATTGTCACGAAGATGTACCTCTCGAAGGCATCCTTGGAGTACCACAAGTGCTATTCAATCATCATGACATACTTTTCAATCCTCCAGAGCTTCAACGACTTCAGTCTTGAGGACAAGTCATTGTCTTCAAGGCTGCTGTTGCACTTGATGTCTCATAGAAACGAAGAGATCAGATTGAAGACGTATGAAGAGTGTAGTTGTCTGGTCTCCGCAACTCTAGGGGTCGAGAAGACCAGGGGAAGGTTCACCTGGACATGTGTTCTCTTCCTCTTCGACAAGAACATCCTGACGGAGATCATCTGTCATGGAGTGAATGATGTGGAACGAATTAAGACTCTAGCCGAAGACATTTTGATATTTCTGGTCAAGGGGAAGGTCCAGATGGGGGAGTCTGGGTGGGGTACCTTCCTGGAGGCTCTCCACCCAGTGTTTCCTCTACTTCAGTCCCTGGCAGAGACCAGATCTCCCTTGGGCCAGTGCATCTCCAAGATGCTGGATCCGGACATGTATAAAGAGATCGGTCTGACGTACCTCGAAGTACTAAAAGGAAACATAAGGTTGTTGTTCGCTTCGGATGGAGCCATCCGTGAGGAGAGTGTTTTCAGGCTGATCTACCTCTTGGGTATGGAGAAGGACTCCTCATCGAAACGCCCCAGGTTGTCCTCTCTTCATGGGTTACCACTGAGTTCTCTTCTAATCTTAGAACGACAATGTTCTTTCAAGAAGCCTGAGGGCACCTACGAGAGAAGTAACTTGTCGTCAGTCCTGGAGATGCTAAGAATGCCGAATGTCGAGCCCAAGGTAAGAAAGTCCGCCCTCATTCAGGTGTCCGTTATGCTGACAGATACTTCCCTTCACAAGATCTTTATGAAGGAAAAGGGTCTTGAGACGATCCTCGAGATCTTCGAAAGGTCTTTACTCGAAAAGGACTTCGAGAACTACCCAGACTCCGTCGTCCCCATTGTATCCATCCTCAAACTCATCTCCTCGACTCAATTGTCAGTTCGTCATCAACTCTCAAACGACACTAACGTTTTCACGAACATCTTAAGAAGTTTGTTCCTGTTCCCAAATCACGAAGCAATCAAACTCGACACGTCTCCACTACTATTTCTCCTGCTATTCCACGACCAAATGATGAACATTGACGTCATGATTTCACTTCCTGAGGTCATCGTCACCAGGATGAGAGTTCCCTTCGTCTGCAAGACCCATTGGAAGACCAGCATCCATCGAAACGGGAAGGATTCTCTCGTCTGTGCTAGCAATCCCCTAGCCCTGACCTTCCTAAGACAGTTTTGGGCATGGGAGTGGAACAACCGGGAGGACATCCTCTGGTCCCTCTGGGAGAATGTCAACAATTCTGAGGTCGATGATGACTTAAAGATCAGACAGCAGGAGCTGTCGACCCTCCAATATTCATCGATCCGATTTTACACGCAACAACAACTCTTCAACATTAAAAATTCGACAACTCACGAAGAAGTCACGTGCGCTTTAGACTACTTATGGATGTACATCAAATTATCGGATCTGAATGGCTTTGAAAAGAATCTCATTAGCTTTACGTCAATGCCCTGGGAGCAATCGTTCGAGCGTTTCCTATTATCTCATCCAACTAGTAAAGAGGACTGCTGTCTCTTCGTAGAAGTCCTCAACTTTCTGAACATTTTGATCACGATTACCAAGGATCCAGGGGTCATCCTGTGGATATCAACGACCACGAGGCACATGACAAAGTCCATATCCGACCTGTTGAGAAGTCTAGACAAGAACTACCAGAACGTTCATCAGTCACTCTTAAAGCTCGTTCGCACCTGCATTAATCTCGAAAGACAAGAAGGTCTCGAAGAGACTGAGAACAGCCTCGAGGACTTTATTGAGATCATTGTCTCGAACCTCTGCTCAAACGATCAACAGCACTTCTACAATCTAGCTTACCTCGACTGGCTGCTGAACTGCTTGACCTACCTGACAAGTGACTCCAAATGGAAGAAGATGCAAAGCAACAAGAACCTGGTGACGACTCTGGGAAACTTCCTCATGGAGCTGATAGTCTCGTTCCATGGAAACGGGGCTGTTAGCTTCATGGGTCTCTCCATCACGAAGAACTCAATAATCTGTCTGAATCATCTCCTTGATCACATGGAGACGAAGATCTCCTTCTGGTACGACAACGGGAGAACCATCAACTGGTTGCCAACGTTGTGGACGAACAGGGATCCTTTGGTGAGAGCTTCTGCTCTGCAGCTGCTAACTGGTCTTGTCCGAGTCCCCCACAACGGTCAGGACCTTCTGCACGGTCTGGGGATGGCCCCTAACGAGCTCTGCCAGACCCTCATCAAAGTCGTCATCAACCGAGAGGAGTCTTGCATCGTCCGGGAGAAAGCCGCGATGGCACTGGGGCATCTCGTGAAGAACTCCAAGTGCTCTTCCTTCAACTACTGCGACTCCCTGAGGTCCAACGCCATCATCATCTACGTGGAACAGGCAAACGTCTACTACGAGATCAGCCTTCTGTGTTCTAACTTGTACCTGTCAGCCACTCTGGACCCTCCAGAAGAATCTTCCGACCCCGAGAACTCCGAAACCTCCAGGTCTACAGCGCCCAGGTCGGTCCTTCATTACTACAACTGCCATGACGAACTGCTGATGCTGTCCGTGAAGGATTCGATCAACGATCTCCCGGAGTTCGTAACGACTCCTTCACTCGTCACAGCTGTCTGCAGTCTTCTTAATCATCTTATTGTTGTGGGAGAGGGGGAGGTCGTCAGCAAGATTTATGAGAGTTCTCTTGAGAAGTACCTCGTCAGCTGCTTCGGGGCCATCCCCAAGGGGATGAGAAGCCCTCAGCTGTGCGAGGTTCTTCAGATGTTCACCAGTATCTGCACAGTTCTCACGAACTGCATCAGCCATTGCGGGGAATTCGCGGGTTCCGTTAGCTTTTCTCCGGACTTCTTGTACCTGTTGATGAGTTATCTGAAGAGAAATTGCGAGTCTCGTGGGATGGGGATGAGGAAGAGGTTGTGGACTGAGGTTTTCAACTTGATAAGTGTCTTGTCGTTGACGGAGGGACAGCATGTGGAGGCGATCAAGACTGCTGTTGAGCTGGTGGGTGCGGAGACGATTGTCTTCGCAATTTGTCTCGGGGTTGAGGATGGGGACGGCGAGCTGAGGATGAGTGCGATTGCTTGTCTTGGATTCTTGTTGGGGCAGGGGATCGAAGGGACGGACTTGATTGGTGATGCTCTCGATGGGATGATTGTCGGGGGCGATGGGATGGAGGACAAGCTGCAGCATGTACTGGTGGGGGTGAAGGAGTCGAATTTGGATAGGAGAACTCGTGATGGGAGGGAAACGGCTGGGGCTAGAATCTGTGGAGCATTGATGCACCTGATGATCGCGCACAACTACGCGAACAGCAAGAAGAAGAACAGGATGTCCAGGGACAAGGACCTGATCATGGGGACCTTGGCGAACCTTCTTTGCATGAGTGATGAGGCGAAGGCTTGTGCTGTGCAGGACAAGTTGGGGCAAACTTGTCTGATGATTCTGAAGGAGTTGTACACGGAGATCAATCTCCAGCCCCATCAGCCTCAGAAGAGTAATTCTGAGAGGGAGAAGAAGCTGGGGCCGGTTCTGAGTGATGTGACCAAGGTTCTGGTGCTGCTGATGAACTTCGCTTGTGGGAGTGCGGAGGTGAAGAGAAGTCTGGCTGCGGCAGGGGTCGCCGACATGGTGCATAAACTGTGGGCGTGGATCTATTTGAGTGATTGTGCTGTTATTGCGGCTCTGAAGATGATCGCGACGCTTACTACTGAGTGTCCTGAAGGTATTTATGAGATGTTTGGGAAGCAGAGTGATTTATTTATTAGGAGAGAATTGTTTGGGTGATTCATGAAGAATAGCCACTATTCATGAAGAATAGAAGGAAGGAGATCGAACTGTGTATGGAGGATATGGGGCCTAAACCGAAGATTTCAAATAAATCGTAGAGGTCGCAGCAGTCGCGAGCGACCGAACACAGACGCGGTGGAGAGGGAACTTTAGAATGGTATTAGTGATTTGCTTGGATCAAGTGGAAATAAGAGTAGATGTATTTTATTATTTTTAATTGAACATTTGGAGAAAGTTTCGCACTTTTGTGAACAAAGAACACCTCCGCGTAATTATTATCAAACTTTTTTCATTTCATTGAAGAATAGTTACAAAAAGCAAAACAATACAAGAGTATCGACGGATAAATTGGATTTCAAGACAGGGTCAACAAATACACTATTCCACGCGGAATCTTGTGTCCATGAGTGGGTCATAGTCAACCCAAGAGCCACCTATAGGCAAACTGACGAGTTCGTTCCCTTCGTAGCTACCCCCACTTTACCTAATTCTCACTGACAGCCATATCTCCCACCATTTAAAACCAAGGGAATGGACTAGTCAGTTAGGTAGTACAGTCGAGCTCCCCACGGCTTAAACCCCCACCGCTAAAGTCATCCCATGGCTTAAGAATTGTGACTCCACAGGCTCAAGTTCCCCTCGTCTTCTGTGTCCCCACCACATGGCCCAGTTATGCGCAGACTTCAGTTGACAGATTAGTGTCAAACCGTTACGCAGTCCACTGCGCAGCCGTTTTTCTGATATTGCGCATGCATCTCATAGTCATGAGTCAGGAGTGGGAGAAAACGGAGAACTTAAGCCAAGGGGAAACTTCAAAATTGGCTCGGTCCCAAGCACTTAAGCCGTGGGGAGCTCGACTGTACAGAAGTCTTCGTCACCTTCCGTGCCGATTCATTTCCCCTCCCAACTTTCAATCAAGGCCTCCATAGCAGTTTGACCTCCTTCTCTCTATTCTTCATGGGGTGATTATTTAGCCTTGAATGAATGGAGAGTGTGAACTATTTATGAAGAATGAGAAAGTTGAGCGAATTCTCAGGGTTTATGAAGAACAAAATGAATTACCATGATGAAGGACTATTTAGTAGGGTTCAGGAAGCTTTGTTTGGAGTTTTTAGATGATTCAAATGGTGTTGATGGTCAAACGGCCCTTAAAAGCGTTTAGAATTAAGAGTCAAATGGTTTTGAGGGTCAAAGGATTTTGAGGTTCAAAAAACCCTTGAGGGTGCTTGGAGTTCAGGGTCAATGGACCCTTAAGGACGTTTGGAGTTGAACGTCAAATAACTTTTACGAACGTTTGGAAATGTGGGTCAAATGGTTTTCAGAGTGGAACGTTGAGGATTGAATATCACATGAATTTGAGGGTCAAACGATTCTTAAGGACGTTTGGAGTTGAGGGTCTAAGGGTTTTGAGGTTCAAACGACCCTTAAGAGCACGTGGAATTCAGGGTCAAATGACCCATGAGGATGTATAGAATCGAGGACCAAATGGTCTTGAAGATCATAGAGCCTTTAAGAGCGTTTGGATTTGAACATCAAATAACTTTCAGAAAAGACAACCGTTGGAAATGAGGGTCAAATGGTCTTCAGAGTCGAACGTTCAAGATTGAACCATTGAAATGAATTTGAGGGTCAACGATTCTTAAGGATGTTTGGAGTTGAGGGTTAAATGGTCTTGAGGGTCAAACAACTTTTAAGAATGTTTACGATCAAGTAACAAATGGTATTGAGGGTCAAACGACCCTTACAAACTTTGAGGATCAAGAACCAAATGGTTTTGAGGGTAACACGACCTTTCAGGACGTATGAAGTTGAGGGTCAAATGGTCTTGAACGTCAAATAACCCTTAGAGACACATTGAATTGAAGGTCAAATAGTCTTAAAGGTCCTATGACCCTGAAATACATATCGAGTTGAAGGAAAAATTGTTTTGAATGGCAAACAGCCCTTATTCCTACAAGTCTTTACGGGTCATTTGACCCTGACCTAAACAAAGTTTCCTGAGTTCTGCTAATTGTAAATAGTAATTTGTCCTGACAAAATCTTCGGCAGAACTGTCATTCCTAGAATAATTCACTAATCCTAAAAATCGGAATAACGTTCTGTCCCCTCACATCATCGATTCCCCCCGAAAATAATAATCCTCTCCTCTCTCATTCCACAGCCGCGCAATCAATGACCCTAACAACGACCCTCCCAGGAACCGGCCCCCGGAGGACCCCTAACACAGTCTCCCTCCTAAACGTGATAATCCACCTGATCTCCCGAGAGATCGACAGGGCGAGTCAATCCTTCGACAACCACCGGTTGCACTTTGCCTTCCACGTCCTCAGGAATTCTGTTCACGTGCACGAGTGTCGCGTGGCCATCTCCAAGAGCAATCTTCTCCAGTTCTTCACGAAGATCCACCCCTTAACGACAAAGCGAAATAAACCCTGGCCACTGATCGAGATCTATTGCCTAGAGTTCTTGATTGATTTTACGTTTTACGAAGAGGGACAGATCTGCGTTCCCAAGTCCACTGATGCCTTTGAGGTCCTCATACAGCTGTCGAAGTGTCCCTCGTCAACTCAGAGGATCTTATCTCTTTCAATCCTCCGGAATCTAGTGTTCAATGTCTCCAATAGACCCAGGATCCTTTCGTCCATTGAGTTTATGAATCTGTTGCACGGGATTTTGAAGAACGGTAGCTTCAGTGAGATCGCGGTGGCTGGGTCAATTCTATGGTCTCTGGTGGCTAACAATCAAAAGGCGAAGCTGATCGCCAGGACTGCTGGATTTGCTCAGTCCCTCCAGGAGGTACTGGGACGTCTGTCACTAGACAAAATGCCTGATGAGAATCAACACAGGGACCTTGCCAAGATGATTCAGTACGTCATCAAGCTGATCAAGGCTACCGACACCAAGTCCGACCTTCATGACTGAATTAATGTATTTAGAATTGTGTTTGTAAATAGTGTGATGTATTTTTTGTAAAAGTTTCGTGACATAATTATTAATTTAACTACGTAATTTGAATCTTCGTGGTAATCAAGATTAAGTTCTGCGGGGATAGAAAAGTCAGGATGAGAATAAAAAAGTGATGTGAAATGGAGTTTTTTTACTCAGCGAAACTGAGTCTTTTTATTTTACAGACAATTGAGTTATTTGAACGTTATTTGTTAAGGTACCAAACAACTGACTTTTGAGAGGAAACCAATTTCCCTTGGTGATTTTCGGAATTAAGATGAGTGCCCAAAAACCGGACTAATATCCGGATCGCTTTCAGCCCGTTTCATCCACTTCCTCGGAAATGAATAAATTCTTCAAGATATTCTCCAAATTTTTTCGTTCCCATTTGGCTGAAAATTCCTGCCGCAAAGTTTTCCCCACATTTCAGTAGTTCTTTTTACTCCCGAGGCCTCTTAAAATCCGTTCTAAAAATGATGACAACGAGTTCCTTCATCATTTCCCGATTATTTCGCCTCCCCGAAGCCGGAAGAGACTTCCTGCATCCCAGGCGCCTAAAAATGTCCTTGATCCAATCGCAATTACTGACTCGATCCCAATCATCCTCATTTTTTACCCAATCGCCTCGGAGGACTCTCCCCGAGGAAACGAGAACGACTCGCCTCTGACGCAAAAGATCGAGTGGAAAAAAGTGATAAAAAAAAACACTGAGTCGACACAGATGCCATAATAAACCATCGAGTTTAGCCAGATGCTACGCTTTCACTGCAAAAGCATGGAATTGAAGAAAAAAAAATGTTGACAGCCATCCGGAAGAATGGAACAGACCGAGGGAATGGAGTCGGACGCCTGCGATTATTCATCTTGAAGTGTAGAAGGTGGAGGAAAGAGGCGGCGATGAGTCGTAGTTGGTATTTCACTGGGTTTTGTTTTTAATGAAGCCCCAGTCGGTTCAAGTGCATCCTCGCAAGCACGTGTTTCCATTTGTCAACAATTCAAACGGCAATACCATTTTTCCATCATTATCCATTATGATATTGTTGTGATGAGCCTCATGCCGATAGGATAGTCGAGAGGTGGGAACTGTCGTAAAGTCAATCAGGCGTGTCAAGGAAGGAAGAAGTTGAGGAATTGATGCGCTACAGAAATGTAAGTTATGAAAATTATAAATTTTTTGTCTTTCACTTTGGTTTTTGCTTGACATCTCAGAAACTATTGGAGATGGCGACATAATCATCTGGACCTTTTGTATATATTTTTTTTCGATCTACAAAAAAGATCTGAATGATATTTTCATCATCTCCTTTGGATTTGATGATATTTAGCAAAAACTTGAAGGGAAATTGGAACAAACGTAACGTTTTTGCGTGAGAATTAAAAATTCCAGTTACATTCGCCCTTCGTTCCGTGAATCTCACTACCCTGAAAAAATCAAAATTATATGGGCGCTAGATGATTTTTAGCTAGAATTATCAAACCGGAAGTGAGTGAAATCAAAACTCCAGCTCCAGAGAATCCGAGAATACACGAAAATGCACTTTTTGTCAAATATTTCGAGAACTACTGACAATAGCGAAATTTTCATCAATACATTTTTTGTAGCTCACATTCCGCCCTACAAAAAAGGTTGTTACAAAAATTTCGCTACCTCCCTCAGATTCCGAGATATCAATCAAAAACAACATTTCTGGATTCTGATTCGATTACTTTCTACCCCCGAATGATCGATTGATTTCCTATTGATTAAATCTTCTTGATCATTCTCCCACGGTCCGTAACCCATCGATCCACGCAATTTATCCTCAATTCAATGAATAGATGAAGGCACAAGTACCGATTGGGTATCGGCTTGGGCCCGTTTGTCCGCCCGTTCAGTTTTTGGTCACGTGGTATCGGATGGATTTGCGTCAATGCTGACCTCCGGAGCTTGGTATCCACGCATACCAACCGGCTCCCCCGTTCACCCGTTGTGGAGACAAACGACTCTTAATGGCCTCTCAGAGGCCTCATCTCTCTCTTGCCCACTCACTCTCATTTATTTTTTCGTCTCAATGATCCCCATTATTTCGGGATTTTTCGGGGGCACGAGGTAGTCAGGGATTCTCGGACTGTTTTCAAGGCGGGGAGGGGCGAACGGTTATTGAATTATCACTGAAGACCTATTTGTTTATACGAGTTTACAGGATATGAGGAAAAAAATATTCGGAATGGATAATGAGCTCTCAAGGTGCACCTTGAGAAGTTAACGAATTAATTCTTGTGAGGTAGTGCTCCTTTTTTATTTTTCGTTACGAATCGATTTGGATTGGAATTTAGTGGAGGCGGGATGAGATGCGGAATTTTGAGTTGATAGGGAACAGTTTTTGGGGGATATATCAGGTTGTAGGGGAGATTGTCAAATCCGATCCCGATGCGGGCGTGATAGTACATGATTGTGACGTACGAAGATGAACCTTACAAGCTCTAAAAGGAACAGACTGAGTTTCATAATATTGGAAATGGCTGATTTTGAATAAAAATCAATCCGGTTGAGTTGAAAACTTTTCTTTATTTGAAATTATATACGAGGAAGACACATCCACACGCTTTGAGATCCTCAGATGGACTAACTAAAGAAGCAAAGATCTCAGAGGTCTGGAACCCTGGCGACATAGACCCACAAAGGTCTCTATTCACTTACAGATGTTTAGACTGAAAAACCAAATGCCCAAATATTCGTCCACGCTCTTCTCAGAATTTCAGATCAGAAAAATGTTCTCTTATAATAATATAAACATACTGTGAAATATAAAATTAATTTTTGTAATCATGGAATGTGAACTCCAACACATAATTTTCATGAAAAATCATTTGTTGATTAAGAACGCACATTAACTAGCGGGTAGCGCGCGAACCACGGGGCCAATTTTGATAAGCCAAAAACCAGTTTGTTTGTATGAGAAAGACGAACAACTTTCATCTGAAACATTTTTCTGTATGTCTCATCGTGTGCATGAAAAATTTTAATCTAATTTTTCGTGAAAAATTTAGATAAAATTATTTATAACAAATTGTTGCCCACTGGAATCGCAAAAGCACCAAAAAATTCGGATTTTTCTACCCCGAACACATCAGTTTCGATCATAAAATCTTGCCGCGCTTTCATGTCCACTTGAAGGGGGTATTGCGTATAGACTATTAAGGAACTCATTATTCTAGAAGGCATTGTAATGATAATAAGATACGAATAGTCAATTTCAGAAGGAAAATCTCTCGAGAAATTAACGAGTTAATTCTCGTGAGGCTGTGCCCCTCTTTAATTTTTCGTTACGAATCGATTTGAATTGTTTAGAATTTAGTCCGCCAAGTGGATATGAACATTTAAAAAAACTCACCCGATGATATCCCGATAAATCAATGGATTTGTCACATCGATAACTCCATCGAGAAACGTTCGAAGGAAAAACCATAATAATTTGTTCAGGGTGTTAAGCAACGTATAGCAAATTACGATTTATCAAATCCAGGCAATTCTGATCAAAGTGGATCACTATTTGGTCCCGAGAGCTACAAAAGATCAACTCGAAAATTTCGCTATCTTCTGTACACTTAAAGATATTCAATGAAAACGAGGTCTTGGAGGTGATTTCAGGTAATTTTCCCAATTTTTATTTAGAATATGTTTTTAATGAATTTCTTCTTTTTCGTTTTTGTTAACGCCTCACGTACGGGGCCCTTATGTTGCTAACACGGAGAGAAATGTTCAGTAAAAATTACGGAACTCACAATTCACTCACCGATTACGGAAGCGAGACGAAAATTTAAGTGACGGTATCGTAATTTTTCACAGGAGATTCAGATAAAAATGACGGAACGCTCCGGAAAAATTCCGTGACAGTTCCGTAAAATTTCCTACAACCACATTTCTCTGCGGAATTACGGAAAAGATACGTAATTTTTATTTTTATTTTTGGTAATCGGATCTGGCCTTCCTTGGGCCAATCAGAGTTCAGTATTCAATAACATGAAGTACTTCCCAATTAAAATTACAGCGGTTATTTCCCCCTAGCTTTTGGTAATTTCCCTCTAGCTCTGCAATTATTTCTCTAACCAAATAACTGTCAAATATTATCCTGTGGAGTGAAAGAAAGTCATCAAGAAAGTCAAAATGAGTCGGTTTGGGAAGGATCCGATTACGAAAAATAATCCGTCGAATATCACTCGACCTCCAAAATTAATCGAACATTTCCCTCATGTTTTCCTGCGTATCAACGATCGGGATAAGTTTTGCTTCGTGCTTCGTATTGACTTAACACGAAGTTTGAAGATGCCTTTCCTGCAAGGTAACCGGTTAATTGCTCTTATGAGAAGTCACCCTCAATTGTGGAGAGATTTAATTGCTGAAATAAAGTTGGCAAATAAAGAGATTAACGCACAAGGTTAACACACATTTGTAGATAGATTTGAGATTGGCATGCATCAAAGTGTGCGCAACCAACTTCCAATCATTTAATTTGACAAGAAAAATCATGAAATTTGGACTTTTTCCAGATTTTTTTCACTCATTTCGACTCAACCAATTGGGATGAACCCAAATGGACTGAACAAATTGCATTTTCATTAATTCATTGTATTTTTTCTGGAAAAAACTACGTCCAAATTCATTCTTTTATAATGTTTTGAATTGCCCTTTTCAGCCACTTTTCAACACTTCAACATATTTTTTCACGAAAACTATAAAGATTTTCCAAAAGGAATTTAAAATCAGCATTAAAATATCTATAAAATAGGGTCAGTCTCGTTTTTGAGGTCGACGTGGTCCGAATTTTGTCGAACCGTGTAATTGATTAATCACATGATTAATTTATAATAATTCCGAAAATATCTGAGAACATTCCAGTGCCAGAGGATCAGGTGTCCTTCTCCAAACAAAACATTTCCATCATGTTTTCATTCTCGTTGACATTGAAGCATTCTCCTACTTCATTCCATAGTTTCTCCTCTCATTTCTTCATTTCCTCGCGATTCACTGCAATTACCATCTGGGTGCGCCTGGAAAATCCTTAAGGAAAATCCGCTCTCTTCAGTCCACATTGCACCATTGTTTACAACAAATTGTCACACGTGTCGTTCAAACAGTTAATGAAATTCCATGGGTGACACGTTTATTCGGGTTTTCGCACGTCGAGTCTGTTGTCTGGGTCATGAATAAACTTGGTACTTTCTTCCTTTCGTATCTGTTAACTTTGTTGTGTATTTTTTTTATACATCAGTTGGAAGGCGTCATGTGTACGGTCTGCTGACGCACGGCTGTGCGAACCATCGGTTCATTCGGAGGGGGGATATTTTACCGTTTGTAACTCCTTTGATGGGTTTTTTAAAATGGTGTTTGTTTGGAGGAGTTGTGAGTTTTCGGGGGTCGAAATCCAGAATTTCGGACCGAGTTACGCAAATTTGGGCATTTAAAGGTCGATCAGTCGTCTAGGAGATGCCGGACAGAAACATGATGTCGACAAGTTCTTGTTCTTCAATATTTTCATTATTGTTATTAATCAAAAATGTTATTTCGGGTATTTTTGTTTGTTCATTGCAGCTTCTTTTCTTTCAAATGTTTTTTATTTATTCTCCTGTTGTTATTCATTTATGTATTATTTTCTTCAGTTATTTTCATTTATTCTCCTCTCGTGTTGTTACTCATTTCTTTACTTTTTTTGTCTGAATCAGGTCGTTTTGTCTGGATCAGGGATCGTTTTTAACGTCGCTCATAAAATTTTTTAATTGTTTTCCTGATGAGTTGTGAATTTTTAGGGGTCGAAATCCAGAATTTCTGGTCGAGTTATGCAGACTTGGGGAAATTGAAGTTTGATCAGTCGGCCAGGAGACGCTAGACGGAAACATGACGTCGACATGTTGTTTTTCTTCAATATTTTTATTATTAGCGCTTTTTGAAAATTTGATTTTGGGTATTTTTGCTTTTTTACTTCATTTTCTTTTCCTTTGAATTTTTTTTTCTCCTGTTGTTAATCATTTATTAATTTTTAATGCCTGAATCAGGGATATTACTTTACCGTTTTCAACGTCTCTGATAAAATTTTGTAATTGTTGTCCTGAGGAGTTGTGAATTTTCGGGGTTCGAAATCCAGAATTTCTGGTCGAGGGTTGGGGAATTA